CCTTCTGCACAAGGAGGGCGTGGGCAACGGAGGACCCCTACTCTCCCCGCTGGTCCCAGGCAAGGAGTCATGGGACCGCCTCGCTGCTTCCCCCATCTGCCCCCCTTCTCCACTGGTGCTACGCTGATTCTCTTCCCCAGAAGATGGGCTGCTTCTCCCAATCCCTGGACGCTCTCTGGAATCCCCTGGCTTTTGCTCTCTCCCTCCGGCACTGATGGTAGTTCCCTGACAGCTGCATACAAAAAAATATGTCTTATCTGGAGAAACTTGCACAAAATGAGTGATGATGATGATTGCAAACCGATGTGGAAAATGAGGAGCTGAATTTGACAGGTTGGCCCATCCCTAGTTATCAGAAGGGAATCTCCAGATCCACAACAATACCGTATTTGCATACTGTGCCATAAGCACTCTCTGAATTTTTGTTTCCAATGCCCACGGAAGTTTTGACAGCAGCAGGTCATGAGGCTGGCTGGCTTCCCTGCCAAGTATTTAGAAGAACTATTGTTTGTTTCTTTGCTCCTTTTTTAAAATTGAGACAGGCATCTGAAAAGCTGGTGGAGCTTTTCAGCCCCCGAGGAAAGACAACAAGGATAGAATTTTAAGCGTGGGGAGGTGGAAACGGGAGGCAGGATAAATACCAGGCTTGTGTCAAATGCCTTTGCAGAGGGCAGCAAACATCTGGAATGGGTTACTGCACGAGGCAGCTGAAGCTGAATGGAAATGAGGACCAGATGTCAAGCAGTCCTGTTTATGGATGGACAGCGATTCCAAAGTGCTCAATACTGACCTCTGATGGGGCTGTGCAGAGGGTGAATTAAGACCTATCTGGTGGGAAGGGGCTGGGGAAAGTGGTTTACGAGGTCTAATGCAAAAATCATACAGCTACTCCCACCCCCCAAAAAACCCCACCAGTTTGGAGGAAGCTGTCATCTAGCAATCGAGGCACCCTGACCTATAAAGATGGCAGACATGAGAAACAGCTGGTCCAGTTGTTTAAGACCTGCAGCCTCTGAAACAACAGAGTCACCCTCATGCACACAGTTACTCATCCTGCAAATGGCTGTGTGAGCAGGTTCTGCAAAAGGAGACTCTCCAGGAGAGGCAGTGGACCTCCAGCCCTCCAGCAGATGCATAGCTGTCAACTTACAGATTTGAAAATAAGGGACCAGCAGCCTCAAAAATAAGGGATCAGCAGCCAAAATAAGGGATTTTCCAAGCACAGGTATGTTCAACCTCTGAGCCCCTCCAAGCCAAAGGCAGAAAGCCCAGCCAGCAGCCAAACGAAGCCTCAAGCAGTGGTTCCCACAGCACAGCAACCCGGCAAAGGGGATGCAGCAAGGAAAACCACCGTCACCTCTCCGCTGGGAAGCGCTGAGCAAAGGCGAGTCCCCAGGCAACGCGGCCGATTTGATCGGCACAAGGCATGCAAGCTCCACCCCCCAGTCGTTCTTAGACTCCTTATTGGGTGAGCAACACAGCCAAGCAACGCAGTTGGAGCCTCCCTCCTCCCTGGCCGGCAGGGAGACAGGGAGAGGAGCTGCTTCCTTTGAAACCCGGGAAATATAAGGGACATCATCAGTAAGGGACAGCAGCGCTGGGATAAGGGACTTTCCCGCCAGATAAGGGACGGTTGACAGCTATGAGCAGATGTTGGGCTCTCATCTTTCATCAGGGATGACAGGAGTTGTAGTCCGGCAATTGCATGCAAAGACAGACTCTGGCTAGAATGTCATCATTCTTCCAGCCACCTTGTTCTGGGCCTGCCTGGCTTTTATTTTTAAGTATTGTTTATTATCATTAGACTAGCTGGGTTTCCATTGTATCATATGTTGAAATCTCTCTCTCTCTCTCTCTCTCTCTCTCTCTCTCTCTCTCTCTCTCTCTCTCACACACACACACACACACACTGTTGTCTCCCCCCAAAAGTCCAGCCACATACATTATGATTCAGAAATAAGGCAAATGTCCTGGAAAACCAGCCACAGAGGTTAAATAGTGCCAAACAAAATGCCTTTTAAAAAGCTCCAAAACTCAAAAATTCCTCAATAACTTTGGGATTTTTTCAGGGGGGAAAAGCTCAACAGTTTTGGGGGGGTTCCCTATAAAATGCTCAGCTACTTTCAGTGTGTCCTGGTTTTTCCTTTTTCAAATATAGCAACCCTTTTAAACCTTTTAAACGCAGTGTAAGGTAGTCTCTATGGGAGTATATCGTATTTAATTATGGGGTATCAGAGTTTGTAGGGGGCTAAACAGGCTGGGACGTGGGTGGCGCTGTGGTCTAAACCACAGAGCCTAGGACTTGCCGATCAGAAGGTTGGCGGTTCGAATCCCTGATGGGGTGAGCTCCCGTTGCTCGGTCCCTGCTCCTGCCAACCTAGCAGTTCAAAAGCACGTCAAAGTGCAAGTAGATAAATAGGTACTGCTCCGGCGGGAAGGTAAACGGTGTTTCCGTGCGCTGCTCTGGTTCGCCAGAAGCGGCTTAGTCATGCTGGCCACATGACCCAGAAGCTGTACGCCGGCTCCCTCGGCCAGTAAAGCGAGATGAGCGCCGCAACCCAGAGTCGGTCACGACTGGACCTAATGGTCAGGGGTCCCTTTACCTTTACCTAAACAGGCTGGTATAGCTGGGATAGCAGGCTTGTAAGTTTTGAATGTCTGATGTAGATTTTTTCAATTTCGTTCTGTATGGGACAATGACAATAAAAATTATCGTATCCTAGTCTGTGCTCGCTGTGCTGCCCCCAGTCAGATTACCTGTGTTCCCCCACCCACCCACAAAGGACCCCCAGCCACCCTAGCCCCAGATAGATTTCTGCCGTCCATATTAAACTCCCATTCAACAAACAGGCTTTTATGGGGGTTGGGGTGGGGGCCCTGGTTAGAAGACGGCCAAAATGTCCTCCAGTCCACCCATCACACAAAGGGGGGGGGTCTCCCACACAACAAGAAAAAGCAATCAGCCCTCCATCGGCAAGCCAAGTTCAGTGGGAGCAAGCGCCAGACATCTGTGTCTGCCTCTGCAAAAAAAAAAGACAGTCATACCTCATGTTACGTTTGCTTCAGGTTGCGCATTTTCAGGTTGTGTCCTGCGGCGACCCGAAAGTACTGGAAAGGGTTACTTCTGGGTTTCGCTGCTCACACATGCGCAGATGCACAAAATGACATCACGCGCATGCGCAGCAGCGAATCACGACATGTGCACTTGCAGACGTGCAGACACGGGTTGCGTTCTGCTCCTGTTGTGAACGGGCCTCCGGAACGGATCCTGTTCGCAACCAGAGGTACCACTGTAAATAAATGCGGACCTGAACAGGCTTCTCATGTGCAACCCGACTCCTTCCATGCTGATTCGGTCGCAAGCCCTGCACACCCCTGGGCTTCCTCTTAGGTTAAATGTGCAAGGCATGCTCTTGCAGCCTTAAGAGGGGCTGAGTTTTCCGATCCAGGCACGAAATAAAAGGAGCGAGCCAGTGCCAGATTTAGGTTTGATGAGGCCCTAAGCTACTGAAGGTAATGGGGCCCTTTATATGCCCAGCTGTCCTTTGTCAACAACAAATTGTCGCTGGTTTTTTGTGTGTTGAATATATGCTATATGGTAATTTATGGACCCTATAGGTATCTCAAGCCATTTGCATGTAACAAAATACGTATTTTATCAAAGTAATTGTTGAACTGAAATACCATTAAGAAGAAGCATACAGTGGTACCTCGGGTTAAGTACTTAATTCGTTCCGGAGGTCCGTTCTTAACCTGAAACTGTTCTTAACCTGAAGCACCACTTTAGCTAATGGGGCCTCCCGCTGCTGCCGCACGATATCTGTTCTCGTCCTGAAGCAAAGTTCTTAACCCAGGGTAATATTTCTGGGTTAGCAGAGTCTGTAACCTGAAGCGTCTGTAACCTGAAGTGTACGTAACCCCAAGTACCACTGTATCAATAGTGAAATATAGCCCTGTTTAGGGAAGCTTTTAATGTTTGATGCATTACTGTATTTTAATATTTTTTTCGGAAGCTGCCCAGAGTGGCTGGGAAAGCCCAGCCAGATGGGTGGGGTATAAATAATAATAATAATAATAATAATAATAATAATAATAATTTGCTGGAGGAGACTCTTGAGAGTCCCATAGCCTGCAAGAAGATCAAACCTATCCATTCTGAAGGAAATCAGCCCTGAGTGCTCCCTGGAAGGACAGATCCTGAAGCTGAGGCTCCAAGACTTTGGTCCCCTCATGAGAAGAGAAGACTCCCTGGAAAAGACCCTGATGTTGGGAAAGATGGAGGGCACAAGGAGAAGGGGACGACAGAGGACGAGATGGTTGGACAGTGTTCTCGAAGCTACCAGCATGAGTTTGACCAAACTGCGGGAGGCAGTGGAAGACAGGAGTGCCTGGCGTGCTCTGGTCCAGGGGGTCACGAAGAGTCGGACACGACTAAATGACTAAACAACAACAACAATTATTATTATTATATACAATCAAGAAGTATATTAATAGTGAAATAATTATTAAGTTCTAACTTAAAATGGGGGGCCCATTACTTACAATCATAGGAGCCTACACAACACAAAACACTGTTACTGTATGTGGGTTTTATTTTATTTGTTTTTTAGCTCATATTTTGGAAATGTACATCCAGTATGTTTTTTCCCCTTTAATTTTTTGGGTGGCCCCCAAGAGAGTGGGGCCCCTAAGCTATAGCTTGTTTAGCTTATATATAAATCCGGCACTGGAAGGGGCGGCCACCCCTTTGCAGGCCGGCTATTTGGTTGGGTGGCAGCGCGCCTTGCAAAAGCCCCTTTAAATTGGAGCGAGAGAGGGAGGAAAGGTCCGCGCGCAGGCGCACGGGAGGCGGCGCCTCCAATCAGCTGGGCCCGGCTTCTGGCATTGGCAGCGCGCTGCCAGGCTCGCCTGCCTCTTCCTCCGGGGCTGACAGGGCGATGGGGGGGCCGGAGTGAAGCAGCCGCCAAAGGGGCGGGCGGCGGGAGGGGAGGAGGAGCGGCAGAAAGCCAGCCAGCAAGCCAGAGGCAGCCGCGGCGGCGGAGGGGAGACGAAAGCGCAGGAGCCCCCCCCGCTGCAGCCGAGCAGAAGGAACCACTGCAGAGGAAAAGGGGGAAGGAGAAAGAAAAAAGGGAGGAGGAGAAAACCTTTAAAAAGAAAAAGAAAGATCTAATCTGTCACATTCCAACATTTTCATGGAGATCACAACCCCCCAGCAAGCAGAGGAGCACCGGGGCTCAATTGACCGGAGACCCTCGCATCAAAATGGTACAGGATCCGATACTTCATTTCTCTCTCTTTTTCTGCCTTATTTCATTATTTATTTGGGGGCGACACAGTTGCTCTCCTTGCAAACTTGCCCTTCGATAGCTGCGATTATTCTGCCTCTCTCTCTCCCCATCTGCCCACCCCCCGTTAGCATTTTTCTTACTTCTGTGTGTCCACATTGCAAAGCGCAGATGTGCGTGCGTGCAAGCCAAGGTGGATCAGAAGGGGGTAGGGCTCTTTTAAAAATATTATTTTATTTGCATGCATAATTATATATCTATATCTCCCCTGCATCTATAGGCTCTCTCCTTTTTTCTTTTCTTTTTTTGCAAGTGGGGGGCAGCCGAGATGTGCAGAGAGAGAGAGATGCTGGAAGAACGTACAATAGCTGTCTTGTTGCATGCGAAGAGTTAAAATTCCTTCATAGCTGGGCCGACGCTGTGGCGATGGATTAGCTCACCCCCCAAATTGCAATCGTTACAAGTTGACGGGGCTCCTTGCAGTCGTATATAGCCATCGGAGGAAGCCTCGCCGGCTTGTTTTGCCTTTCTGGTGAACTCGGAGTGACATTCGTGTTTAAATGCATTGTCTAGGAGCTTTCAGGCAAAGTGTGGCTTCCGATGGGGTGGTGTCGGTTCAGGAAGAGAGAGAGAACCCCCCCCCCATCTGCTTGGAGGTATTGAATTGCAAGAGGGTCGCTATGGGATTTGTGACAGTTTCCTCTTCCAGCCCCCCTTTTATCTAGCAAGTCTGCTCAAGTTTGCATTGGTTTCGAGGGGGGGATTCCGCCCCCTCCCCCATGCGACACTTCTCCCTTTTTTCCTTTTGCAGAAATGAAGGTGTGTTTCTGCGCTGGAAAAGTGGGAGACCTTGCGTTTTGCAATTGCGAGAAGGTGTCAGCTTAAAAGAGGGAGGGCTGGAGCCTTTTAATACACACACACAGAGCTCAAGGGCAGGGACAAGATCAGGAATATACATTTTATTGGAAGTGACACTATCTGGATGCTTGGGGTGAGGGGCGCTGAAAGGGTTATTTGGCCACGAGAAGCCCTGGATTGCAAGGAAGGCCTATAGTTCTTCAGCAGTGCAGATCTTCTCAAGGAAGAAATCTTAACCATGGGTACGATCCGAAACCAAAAAGTTGTATATGGATTTCTGGGTTTCGGTTGTGTGTGTGTAAGTTCTACATCTGGTTTGCAAATAGGGGTTGTGTTGTGGTTTTTTTTTTTGGTGTTCAAAAGCTGTAATCCAAAACTCCCGATCTTCAGTCTTTACATAGTTTGGCCTACACCGTGGAGCTTGCTCCTCATGCAAACGCTTGTTCGCTCAACAGTTGCAGCACTGTCAGGCTGGCTGGCATGTGTGAACGGACCATCGCAGGGCAGACAGAATTCTTGGGTCGGCTGGTGTCACTCGAAATAGCCTCAGTGGTTTAACCTCCTGAATTCAGCTTTCTAAGGTGCTAAAGACACACCTTTTTCTGCCCTGGCCTCGTGACACTTTAGGTGTGTGTTTTCAGGACCTGTTCCCGCAGCTCTGATTTGTTTTAGCTGGGTTTCAAACTGTTCCAACCTGCCCTGGGATCCGCTGCGGAAGGAATAATGGGAATAGGAATAATGGGTAGGATTCGGCTAGCTAGTCCTGTCGGCAGAAACTCACAAAAAGGCTTCTGGTGAGCAGGGCTTCCCCTCCGCTATGCGCCCCTGAAATTGACTTGTGGGGGTAGAAAACAGCATATGGAGAGAGGACAGTGGTTCAAATTCACTAGGCGCATTTTGCACCTGGTGCGGGTGGCGCTGTGGGTTAAACCACACAGCCTAGGACTTGCCGATCAGAAGGTCGGCGGTTTGAATCCCCGTGACGGGGTGAGCTCCTGTTGCTCGGTCCCTGCTCCTGCCAACCTAGCAGTTCGAAAGCACATCAAAGTGCAAGTAGATAAATAGGTACCACTCCGGCGGAAAGGTAAACGGCGTTTCCGTGTGCTGCTCTGGTTCGCCAGAAGTCGCTTAGTCATGCTGGCCACATGACCCGGCAGCTGTACGCCGGCTCCCTCGGCCAATAAAGCAAGATGAGCGCCGCAACCCCAGAGTCGGCCACGACTGGACCTATCGGTCAGGGGTCCCTTTACCTTTACCTTTATTGGCCACTTGCGACCAAGTGAAGGTACCTGGGAGACAGGATGACACCTGATGTCTCCACGCTCTGGAGGTGCATGCCTGGGGAGCCCTGGATCTTGGCTTCCCCCCCCCCACACACGAATACCCCATCCTGTAGAATTCCATCTGTTCTATTTTATCTGCACCATCAGGAATGAATTCCAGGAACCGAAACACTTTTTCCGTGCAGCCTGAGTAGGAGCAGTGAACAGTGTTATAGTTAATTGCTGTGGCTTGTCTTCACCCCACTCACTGTTAACGAATGGTTTGTGTCACCGTTAAGAAAAAGAGGCAGGAATAGGCCAATATATATGTGGGCAGTTCCTGGGTAAAAGTGATTTTTCTTCTTTTAAGTTCTCAAAGTTCTAAACCTGGCTCAGGGCTCTGAACTAGCCAGATGTTTAACTGAGAATCAATCAGTCCATCACTTGAAAAATAAGACTTTAGAGCTGCCTTGCCCCAGAATGGCAACTAGGCATTCCATGTTGGCAACCGTAACATTGGTTTAAGGTAAACAGCTAAAGGATGCCTGGACAGTTGAGTCCAGTAAAAGGCGACTATGGGGTTGCGGTGCTCATCTTGCCTTCAGGACGAGGGAGCCAGCGTTTTTCCACAGACAGCTTTCCGGGTCATGTGGCCAGCAGGACTAAACCACTTCTGGCGCAGCGGAACACCGTGACAGAAACCAGAGCGCACGGAAACGTTGTTTACCTTCCCGCCGCAGCGGTACCTATTTATCTACTTGCACTGGCATGCTTTCGAACTGCTAGGTTGGCAGGAGCTGGGACAGAGAGCGAGTGTGGTGTAGTGGTTAAGAGTGGTTGTCTCATAATCTGGTGAACCGGGTTCGTGTCTCCGCTCCTCCACATGCAGCTGCTGGGTGACCTTGGGCTAGTCACACTTCTCTGAAGTCTGTCAGCCCCACTCACCTCACAGAGTGTTTGTTGTGGGGGAGGAAGGGAAAGGAGAATGTTAGCCACTTTGAGACTCCTTCGGGTAGTGATAAAGCGGGATATCAAATCCAAACTCTTCTTCTTCTTCAATGGGAGCTCACCCCGTCATGGGGATTCGAACCACCGACCTTCCGATCAGCAAGCCCAAGAGGTTCAGTGGTTTAGACCGCAGAGCCACCTTTGTCCCGTAGCTTATATATCTGAGTTTCTAACACTGGGAGGAGATGAGGGATTGTTTTGTCTAGATGGAAACAGCAGCATAATGTGACATTGCATTTTTTTTTTATTATTATTATTATTATTATTATTGGTGCTTGTGAATCACCCTGTAGAGCAGGGGTGAGAATCTCAGGCACAGGGGCCGACCCTCGACACTCTGCCTGGGTTCTGCTTCGTCTCCCAAGCTGTGTCCTTGAAGTCGGATAATGCCTGTTGCTTGTTTGGACGGGAGGTGAAAGAGATGTGTAAAATAACTTCTTGTTTAGTCGTGTCCGACTCTTCGTGACCCCCTGGACCAGAGCACGCCAGGCACTCCTGTCTTCCACTGCCTCCCGTGGTTTGGTCAAACTCATGCTGGTAGCTTCGAGAACACTGTCCCACCATCTTGTCTTCTGTCATCCCCTTCTCCTTGTGCCTTCCATCTTTCCCAACATCAGGGTCTTTTCCAGGGAGTCTTCTCTTCTCATGAGGTGGCCAAAGTATTGGAGCCTCAGCTTCAGGATCTGTCCTTCCAGTGAGCACTCAGGCACGCTGATTTCCTTGAGAATGGATAGGTTTGATCTTCTTGCAGTCCATGGGACTCTCAAGAGTCTCCTCCAGCACCAGAATTCACAAGCATCCATTCTTCGGCGATCAGCCTTCTTTATGGTCCAGCTCTCACTTCCATACATCACTACTGGGAAAACCATAGCTTTTACTGTACGGACCTTTGTCGGCAAGGTGATGTCTCTGCTTTTTAAGATGCTGTCTAGGTGAAATAACTAGCTTACTGTGAAAAAGGTAAATTTTACATTTGCTGCCCCACCCATTTCTGCCTCTGGCCCTGCCCACCACTGCCGTGTGGCCCTTGAAACATTGCCTGGGTAGGAATGTGGGCCTCTGGCTGAAACAGGATCCCCACACATGCTGTAGAATCATGGATCCGGGAAGTATCTCAGTGTCTATACATGATTGAACTTTCCTTGGCTATGAGATGAAACCTCCCTCTGCAGAGATAGTATATCTTTGAATATATGGAGGTGCTGGAGGCCAAACAACAGGGAAATTTTCTTGACGTCTTGCCTGGCTTCAACACTGGCATCCAAAAAACTGGGGGGTGGCCAGGGCCCCTGTGCCTGTACTCACTTTGGGATTGAATCCAACAGGTGAAACCTTTCTGGGCTTGGAGAGTTAGTGATGGGAAAGATCTCCACCTGTTAGGTCCATGCCTGACACACCGTGGTTAACAGGAAATATGTCAGGAAAACAGGTGGCATCCCCACCTGGTTTCAGTAACACAGAAAACAAGGGTTGTCTATGCAGCATTAAGATTTGGAAAAAAATAGTGGTTATAGTGGATAACAGTCTTAGCGCGACTCAGCTGTGGTTTTTCAGGGGGAAACTGATTGAAGCTGTGGTAGGTCATATTGTGTGGGTGCTGACCTTTAGAACCCTAAACGGCCTCGGCCCTATATACCTGAAGGAGCGTCTCCACCCCCATCGTTCAGCCCGGACACTGAGGTCCAGCTCCGAGGACCTTTTGGCAGTTCCCTCACTGCAAGAAGTGAAGTTACAGGGAACCAGGCAGAGGGCCTTCTCGGTAGTGGCACCCATTCTGTGGAATGCCCTCCCATCAGCTGTCAAGGGGATAAATAATTATACAACTTTTAGAAGACATCTTAAGGCAGCCCTGTACGTGGAAGTTTTTAATGTTTGATGTTTTATTTCTGGCCTAGAAGATAAAACCTGTAAGGAAGGTCTGAAAGATCAGGGAAGAAGGAAGATTGGGCTGGCGACAAAGCTTATCCATCACATTTGCCTAGGATAGGAAAAGCAGTAGATATAAACAAGACCTGGGCATTTCTCCCTCTCCAGCGCTTAACTTTGCTCTGCCTCTATTCAGCTAGGTTTTTAGGAAGACTAGGGCATCTCCTTCTCTTCAAGCCGCTATTGGACAGACATCTGTTGTGGATGCTTTATGGGCCTTGACTTGGAAGAGATGAGGACTATTCGTATTGGGATGGAACCCCCATGGACACTAATGGAAAATTTCCTCCCAGTGTAAATAAGTTCGGATGAGGGATTTTCTTCAGCACCGCAGCAGGAGAAGGAATTGCTTTTAAAACCCCCTTCTGACTGCTGGGGTCCCAATAATTATCAGGGCCCCCATCCCAATCTGATGCTATTCACAGTTTTTTTTTAATGTGCACATTCAATCCATTTGTAAAATTGTAAAATGGATCCTCTGTATAGGAGGTGCAACAGTTGTGAGGGAAAATCAGCCTAAAGAAATAAGATTTAAGACCCTAAATGGCCTGGGACCAAGATGCCTCGGCGGAGTCTCAGATGTAGCTGGACTCCAGCCAGGACGGCCAGGGACAATGAGAGTTATAGTCCAACGTCATCTTGGAGGACCATGTCTAGGTTCTAAAAAGAACCCCCACCTTGGAAAGACCACTTAAGTCCTGAGTGTAAATTACTTAACCGCATCACTGATTTTCAGATCTGGGCCATGAGCAGCAGTCTGAGGTGAGCCAGGAACGAAGACCCATTCAACAAGTCACTAGTCAGGAGCAAGGATATAGAACCACATCAGAGTTCAGGAAGAGGTAGCTTCTCAGGACCTTCAGGCCCTGGGCTGATTCCACCCACCCAGGCTGGCATCAGCCCAGGATCTGAAGGTCCTGAGAAGCTACCTCTTGTCATTCAGTGGTTTGTCATGTAGGGTAGTTGTCCACAAATCCTAGTAGCTCATGGCAAGTGTGTATATATGCATGTAAAAGTATAGCATGTGGGGGAAGAGCCTCAGGGATAAATCTGGTCCTCTGGGTTTCTCTGGCCTCTGGGCATGTCCACACACCATGTTGTTTGCCCTCCTTGAGTGCCTTGGTCTGGCTAGGATGAGTCCTTCAACTGTGATCATGGCTCTTCCTTGCTAGGATAGAGATCTGCGTAGGAACCACCAATATGTGTGGCTAGAAAAGTTACCTACTGAGCAAAGGTTAGAGTTCCATGCATTGCTGTGCCCACTTTCATCTCTACCTGGGCCTACTGTAGACATGTGGCCCTTGGAAGTTTGCCTGTAAAAGGATGAGGCCCTCAAGGTAGATTCCCCACCCCTGAATCCAGCAAGCAAGTACTTGTGTTGTAGAGGCCTGGTCATCAGAGAGCCAAGATCGGCTGCCGTTCCCCGTTGAATGCACACCCAATGGCGAATCCAGGTTATGTGACGCACCCATTTAGGTCTCATTCGGAGAGTTTGATTAGACTGAATCCCCAAGTCCTTTTTGTGGTCAAAATGGCACATGTTTATTGGGCTGTGTGGGAATTTGAGCATATAAATCAAGGGCCTTCAAAACTATGGCTGTGGAAGACTTCTCATCATCCCATGCTCTTTTGGGTCACTGCAGAAGTTGGTTTTGGGTGTCCATAGAAGGAGAACAAAAGATTGGCAATGTTTAGGTTTTATTGGTAGGGAGGCTGCTTCTCATCCCTGTTTCATTGAGCGTCCGTTGCTCAAAAAGCAAGACTTCGCCAATACTGGCTTGCTTCTTCATTAAGCCTGATGTGGAGTAATGTGGTATTTTATTTCCTGGCTTTGTTGTTGTTGTTGTTTTTGTGGGGTGCAGTTGCTTCTTGGCTAGCAAATAGAGGGGTATTTTTGGCCCTGGCAAAAAGGCTTCCCTCTTTCGGTTTTTACTTTTTCCTTTTGGTATGTCGATGTCAAAAGGTGCCAAATGTGTTTGTCCATTCAGAGCGGGAGTCAAGCATTGCAGGAAACATGTCTGTCCATTGGGCTGGCTGTTTCATATCCCCCATCCTTTCCAGGTCAGATCTGATTGGCTGCCCTATATCATGATGTCATCCTGTCCACTAAGTGATCCCTGTTTGGCTTAGGAGCACTGTCCCGAGGAGGACGGCCATCCCACTTTTTAAAAGCTGCCGAACCCCTGGCCAGTCAAAGAAAGAGCAGGCAGCGGATGATGGATTTGGGGGAGCATCTCTTCAATGTCTCTCCGCCCCCCCACCAAAATCTCACAGGTCTCCAAATGAGTGAACACTAATGCAACCTACTAACACTAATGCAACCTACTAAAAAATGCCAACAAAAAGCATTTGGTCAACATCAAACAATTACTTGCTTCATTGTGGGCGCCAGCTATAACCAACAGAGCATTTATGCTGAATCTCACATTTAATTTTAGCAATAAAGGAGTTCTGTACTCTGTGGAACGAGGCATTAAGCTATGGCTGCCTTCTCCCTTTTACTTGGAAGATAGAGAAAATGTGATTGTCTTGCTTCGCAATCACGTAGTGCTCAAAGCAGAGCCCAGACTTGATCTAGTAATCTTTGCACCTGCCCTGTTAGGTTCGTATTGTCCCTGTATCGACTTCCTCGATCCACAACCCCTTCTTTCCCATGCCACCCCCAGATTTATTTTTTACAGGTTTGACCAGAGCGCGTATACCCCTTTGCGACTCTTGCTAGGACTGGAGGGCACAAGGCCGTGGGCAGAAGTGGCAAGGGGAGCTCCAGTAGAGCCATTGCAGATGCACGAGCTCATCAAGGGAGGATGGCGGCTGCCTGCATGGTAGAGACAGTGTGGCCTAGTGGTGAGAGCATTGCACTAAGATCTGGGAGATTTAAGGGTTTGAACCATAGCTGTCAAGTGTCCCTTATTTGAAGGGACAGTCCCTTATTCCAGCGCCATGTCCCGCTGCTGTCCCTTATTGATGGATGTCCCTTAAATGTCCCTTAAATGATGTCCCTTAAATTTCAAAGGAAGCAGCTCCTCTCCCTCCCTCTCTGCCGGCCAGGGAGGAGGGAGGCTCCAACTGTGTTGCTTGGCTGCGTTGCTCACCCAATAAGAAGTCTAAGAATGACTGGGGGGTGGAGCTTGCATGCCTTGTGTGTGGCTAGTTAATGCAAGCTGAGGGGTTTTTTGAATGCTGGACGCCATTTTGTTGCACGTGCTGCTGCATACTTTGCAGTGCAAAGCCAGGCCGGAGAGCCATCTTAAGTTGAGGCTGCATAGGCCTTGTGGTGCATGTGATTCAGATTCTTTTCAGTTGAACCTCTGGTTACAAAGTTGGTTGGACAGTGTTCTTGAAGCTACCCAGCATGAGTTTGACCAGACTGCAGGAGGACAGGAAGACTGGAGTGCCTGGAACAGGTGAGGCTGCAGGTCCCTTATTTTGGCTCCTGGTCCCTTATTTTCAAGGCTGCTGGTCCCTTATTTTCAAATCTGTAAGTTGACAGCTATGGTTTGAACCTCTACTGGGCCACAAAGCTCACTGCCTCTCAGCCTAAGCTGTTGTGTTGTTGTGGTTGATGATGATGATTTATTACGGTCGGAGACCAGCTTATAAAACACACTTGGGGTTACAATCCCAGAAGGAAAACAAACATTGAAAACGATGTACAATAATAAATTTAAAATTTATAAATGTGATAATCATATGGACACTTAAAACTTTAAGATAAGCTACCGCAGAGAGATGACCCAGAGTCACCCATGGAACTGAGTTTGGGGATTTTCTTAACGAACTAATTTGATTGTGTTGATTAAATGAGGAGCAAGAGAGCCGTCTCTGCCTCCTTCAGAGAAAAGGTAAAGGTAAAGGGACCGCTGACCATTAGGTCCAGTCGTGAACGACTCTGGGGTTGCGGCGCTCATCTCGCTTTCTTGGCCGAGGGAGCTGGCATACAGCTTCCGGGTCATGTGGCCAGCATGACTAAGCCACTTCTGGAGAGCCAGAGCAGCGCACGGAAACGACATTTACCTTCCCACCAGAGCGGTACCTATTTATCTACTTGCACTTTGACGTGCTTTTGAACTGCTAGGTTGGCAGGAGCAGGGACTGAGCAACAGGAGCTCACCCCGTCGCGGGGATTCGAACCGCCGACCTTCTGATCGGCAAGTCCTAGGCTCTGTGGTTTAACCCACAGCGCCACCCGCGTCCCCTGAGAAAAGTTGGGATGCCATAAATAAACAGCCTGTGTGTTTGCAATTGTGCCACCACATGGAGACCAGCTCTGCAACAAGTTATAGAGGCGACTGGTGCAGAGATGCATTTAAGAACACTGTGTGTGTGTGTGTGTGTGTGTGTGCTGTACAGCCGCTGGAGTTGCTGCGCTTCTGCATATTCCATCCCATTCCCAGTCAAGTGACAGCTTTGTGTTTGCACTGGGATTTTCTCTTCCCAAGGCAGGCAAGCTTACAGTGTAGAGTTCTGTGTTCTTCAAGGTCCCCAGCAGTTACTGGACTACAACTCCCATCATCCCCAGCCAGCTTACCCAGTGGCCAAGGGGATGATGGGAACTGTAGTCCAACAACATCTGGGGGACCCAAGGCTCACCCAGACAGTCTCTGTCCCTTCCTTCACAAAGGGGAAGGTGCTAAGTTAGGCACTTGGACCAGAGGTCTCTCGGGGGGGGGGGGGAGCTAAAAAGTTACTCTGTGCATGCTCTGATGCGCTCAACCCCGGGGTCCCATAACTTTTGATAACAAACGGTGATCATCCTGGGTGTTCTCCTCTGAGCAACCTGTTCCCCACCAGTCATGCTGATAGGCTTCTTTCCAGCTGCCACTCAGATCTAACTTTGGCAAACAACAGATAATATTGTAGGTGTGTTTCTGCACTGTACCATTCCCAAGTTCCAAGTGCTGTTGAGCAATTCCATGTGGGAAGGAGGTCCCCGTGTGCAGAAAGCCAGCATGTCAGGGAAAAGCCTGGGCTAACCCCTTCTTCCAAATACGCTTCTCCCCCCCCCCCAATTTTTTTTATTAATTTTCACAAAATTATAAACAAACAAACATAAATCATAATCTTATTAAAAATTATACTTATTAACATTGTTAAGTGACTTCCTCGCTTCCCCTTGGTTGAATTTCCATGTATATCCATTTAACGGTTTTCCAACTCACAGTTCTTATAAAATTTAACTTAAGCGTTAACACCTTTAAATCTTTTCATTTTAAAATTATACAAATTGATTTGTCACTTAGCTTAAATAAAATCCTAAGCCAATTAGTTATCTGCAAGTTATTTCCAACAGATACACTTCTTTTCTATGCTCAGGAATTATTATTTTTTTTGCATTTGGCCGTGGGAACTATCTAACCTGGTGGTTTAGAAACAGGTCTGTTACTTCACCTGCTGTTTGTGAGAAGCAGGCCTTCGTGGTTGTATCTTGCACACACAGACACACACATCCCTACTGAGGTCCCAGCTGCTGCTGGTGGAGTGGTAGAAATTGCACCCTTCTTCCAGAGTAGCAGTCACGCTGGAGACCTCTTTTCAGGCTAAAGAAAAAGGGGGGGAAATGGTTTGCTGTGCCTCTGGACTCTGCATCTTTTGCAAATGTTCCTTCCAGCCTCCAGCGCAGGCCTCACATTCCTAGCATAACCTTGGCACTCGCATCAAGCTGGTGGGAGCCTTTGGCGTTCAAGGCTGGGCCCCGTGAGGCTAACATGCTTTTCAGGGCGAACCGTGGGATTAACGGCACTTGAAGAATGCAAGCGGGCCTTTCTCTTGCGGTTCTGCCTGTGTGTGCGTGGCGACGAGCAAAAGCCCTGTTATGTAAAAAGGGAATTTATTTATATATTTTTTTAAAGTAATCTGGGCTCTCTAGGAAAGCTGTTCCGGATGGCAGAACCCAGATCCACCGATCTCACGATGATGGTGCAAAGCTCTCCTCGCTCTCTGCTTCTCTCTCTCTCTCTCCCCTGATCCTCCTGCTCTTTTAATAAAAGTGTGCCATTATGCGATTGCGAGAGACGTGGCATTGTGCCCTTAATAACGCAGCTAGTAATTTGAGCACTTTTCTGGAAATGGCAGTCAAGTGCCAGGCTTTTGAAGGAGGGGAGGGCAATCATCGTTTTGCTCGAATTAGCATGGCGCTGAGCTCGGGAGCGTGAGAGATTGCCGCTGTCAGGGATGGGCTAAGGAGAGCCCAAAGCATGAGTTGCCCTGCAAAGGAACATGGCTAGGGAGCCCTTGGCTCAAGGCATCGTGCAGAAAGGGGGCTGCCCAAAATTGATTTGCTGGAGCAGTGGCTTCTTCCTGGAGAGAGCAAAAGGCAAGCTGGAAGGGAAACCTAAACTACTCTGGTTCCTTTTGGATGGACCCTTATAAGTTTTGGGCTCTTGCATACACACTGTACATTAAAAACCCGTTCCCAGCCTCCCCCTGAATTCTGGGGTGCTCATGTGCTCAGGTGGCCCGGAGTGCCTTCCATCACCTTCGGCTGGTAGCCCAACTGCATCCTTACCTTGCCAGGGACAGCCTAATTACTTTTGTCTAAGGTAAAGGTAAAGGTACCCCTGACCGTTAAGTCCAGTCGTGGACGACTCTGGGGTTGCGGCGCTCATCTCGCTCTATAGGCCGAGGGAGCCGGCGTACAGCTTCCAGGTCATGTGGCCAGCATGACTAAGCCGCTTCTGGCGAACCAGAGCAGTGCACGGAAACGCCGTTTACCTTCCCGCTGGAGCAGTACCTATTTATCTACTTGCACTTTGACGTGCTTTTGAACTGCGAGGTTGGCAGGAGCAGGGACCGAGCAACGGACGCTCACCCCGTCGCAGGGATTCGAACCGCCAACCTTCCGATCGGCAAGCCCTAGGCTCTGTGGTTTAACCCACAGCGCCACCCATGTCCCTGTTGTCTATGCTCTGGTAAACTCCTGGTTAAATCACTGCAATGTGTTATATGTAGGGCTGCCTCTGAAGACAGTTCGGAAACTTCAGCTAGTCCAGAAATCAGCGGCTAGGTTGCTCACGCTTACCAGGGCAAGAGAGTTTGAGTATATAACGCCGATCCTGGTCCAACTGCATTGCCTACCAATTAGTTTCTGGGCCCAATTCAAAGTCCTGGTTTTGACCTATAAAGCCTTAAACGACTCAGGATCGCAATGCCTCAAGAACCGCCTCTTTCCATATGAACCTACCTGGACCCTGAGATCATCTTCTGAGGCCCTTCTTCATGTGCCTCCACCACGAGAGGTCTGGACCGGGGCAGTAACACAAGAATGGGCCTTTTCTTTCTTTCTTTCTTTCTTTCTTTCTTTCTTTCTTTCTTTCTTTCTTTCTTTCTTTCTTCTTTTTTTAAAAGTAATTTTTATTTTGCTTTAAACAAATACAGATAAACCAAAATTACAAAAGAAAAATCCTTAAAATAATGGAAAAGGCTAAAAAAACTACAAAAAATACCAAAGTACATGGCATAGAACATAAGCCATTATAGGAAAGAAAAAAAGTAAAAAAGGAGAGGAAGGAAGAAAAAAGGTGGGGGGATGCAGTGAAATGCTCTCCCTGGAAAAGTTCATCTGACGCCTTCATTATACACCTTTAGGCGCCAGGCAAAATGTTCCTTTCCAACCAGGCCTTTGGCTGATTGACGTCCGATGCCCTTTTAAATGTATTGTGGAAGGAGAGGGTTATTGGGTCGTTTCTGTTTTTGTTATGTATTTTGTGTTTCGTTATATTGCAGTTTTATGTTGTGAACCACCCCGAGATCTATGGGTATTGGGTGGTATATACAAATGTTAATAATAATAATAATAATAATAATAATTAATACTGGGGTCATCTTGTGATCTTTCAAGGCCTAGTGGGAATTTGAAACCCAGTGTCCTGTGTCCATTCCTTTGCTCCAGTCGCTATATCACACTGACTCTCAAGGGAAATGTACTCTGTGCAAGCTCAGAGGCATGGCTTCATTAAAAAAATTGAGCTAAGCTACTAAGGAACTCTGCCCCCGTGGTGAGGGAACTTTTAAAACCCAGAGGCGGCAACTCTTATTTGTAGCTTCTTGGTTGCCCAGCTGACTTCTCCGATGAGAAAAACAGGAGTTTGGGCCGTGCTGTGACTGAGCTGATAAGGTTTTGTTTGAACGATCCCGGCTTGTCATGCCGTACATCTGCGGCAACAGGATACAAGGCAAACCCTCTTTCCCTGTGAACTCAATGTGTCAAAACATTAGTCGTTCTTCAAATGTTTTTCATTGAATGCTTCGCTGCGATTTCCCCCACAGCTCTGAAGGATGAAGGCTTTGTCACTTTTACGTTTGCTTGTCTGCATGGAAAAAAAAAATGATGTCGGGTTTTTTTGTTTTCTTCCCAGTTCTTTCCCCTGTTAGTTGGCATCTCTCTTTTCTAATCTAGACCACAAGTCACCCAGTAAAGGGAAACTAGACTTAAAAACTTGAGCTAGTATTCTGCAGTGACAAAAGTGTTGGGCTTGAGCCGGGAAGAGCCGAGTTCGAATTCTCAGTTGGCCAAGAGTTGATTACTGATGCTGGGTCTGTTCAGATGTTATGCCTGCCTGGTTTGATGTTTCACAAACAGGCCCTGAGGAGTTTCAGCCTTGTATATATACTGCCTCCTCCTTCAGCTCAGGAGACACAGTTCTGGACTTCTGACTTCCGTTTGTGGCAACCTGGTTTCCAGGTACGTCCGAATGGGCAAACGACGCTTTGCCCTTGCCTACAGTTTTGCGGTGTGTGGTTGCACCCAACTCCAAAATAGCGGAAGCACCTAGAGCAGCCTTTCTCAACTTGTGGGTCCCCAGATGTTGTTGAACTACAACTCCCATCACCCCTAGCTAGCAAGGCCAGAGCTCAGGGATGATGGGAGTTGTAGTCCAACAACATCTGGGGACCCACAGGTTGAGAACCGCTGACCTAGAGGAAGGGGAACAGACAGACTCCTTGGGGCTGGTTCACATAACACTAAACCATGGTTTGCAATTGTGTCTCATTTCCGCCTCCTGGAAATGTGTCCTTGAACTCTGGCGACGCCTCTTGTCAGCAAGGGGTGTGGCCTGAGGAGGGTTATGAGGGCCAGGCAGAGGGTCCTGAGGACCACATTTGGCCCCAGACCCTGAGTCTCCCCATCTCTGGTTCGCAGCTACCTATTACGTGGAGAAGGCGGTTGCAATCTGAGGCTTTTTTTTTGTCGGCTACCTCCTTTTTTGGAGGTCCCGAGCCTCAAGGAGGTTAGATTGGTCTCAACTAGGGCCAGGGCCTTTTCAGCACTGGCCCCGACGTGGTGGAGCACTCTGTCACAAGAGACTAGGGTCCTGCGGGACTTGACATCTTTCCGCAGGGCCTGCAAGACAGAGCTGTTCCACCTGGCCTTTGGTTTGGACTCGGTCTGACCTTTATGTTTCCTTCCCCTTATGGTCTTGATGAGGCTGCATTTTAAATTGTATTTTAACCTGTATTTTAAATTTGGTCCCCCCTCTCTTTTTCCCTTATTATGTTTTAACTGTGATTTTATTGGTGTTAGCCGCCCTGAGCCCGACTCCGGCTGGGGAGGGTGGGGTATAAATAAAAATTATTATTATTATTATTATTTTCTCCATCCTGTCTTGTTCTGTCCTCCATCTGGTTTCCCCCCCCCCTTCCTTTTTCGCTCCTGCCATGCCCCCCCTTTAAAAAGAAAAAGAAAAAAAAGCCCCCCAAGCACTTTGCACATAGTGAACTCGCTGTAACCCCTCATGCATCTCCCCCTCGTAAAACTCTGTTGACGGAGACGGGATGAGGCCGGCCAGCCTGCCTCAAAAATCTCTTCGCGCTGACCTTCACTCGGCCTCGCTGGAGAGCCTGGACCGCAGCCGACCCTGGATAAGCAAGGCTGGCTGCTCTCCCTCGCAGGCCCCTCCAAGGCCTCTGGGTTTTGGGGGGACGCCAAGAGGAGAGCTGCAGGCCTCCGGTGTCTTCCTTCGAAGCTGGTGGGCCGCTGAAAGGGAGAGTTTTGCAGAGTGCATAAAAGCGAGGTGCCCTTGGAAAGGTTGCGGCCCCTTGTTGTTGTTGTTTAGTCGTTTAGTCGTGTCCGACTCTTCGTGACCCCCTGGACCAGAGCACGCCAGGCACTCCTGTCTTCCACTGCCTCCCGCAGTTTGGTCAAACTCATGCTGGTAGCTTTGAGAACACTATCCAACCATCTCGTCTTCTGTCGTCCCCTTCTCCTTGTGCCCTCCATCTTTCCCAGCATCAGGGTCTTTTCCAGGGAGTCTTCTCTTCTCATGAGGTGGCCAAAGTATTGGAGCCTCAGCTTCAGGATCTGTCCTTCCAGTGAGCACTCAGGCACGCTGATTTCCTTAAGGATGGATAGGTTTGATCTTCTTGCAGTCCATGGGACTCTCAAGAGTCTCCTCCAGCACCAGAATTCACAAGCATCCATTCTTTGGCGATCAGCCTTCTTGCTGGTCCAGCTCTCACTTCCATACATCACTACTGGGAAAACAATAGCTTTAACTATATGAACCTTTGTCGGCAAGGTGATGTCTCTGCTTTTTAAGATGCTCTCTAGGTTTGTCATTGCTTTTCTCCCAAGAAGCAGGCGTTTTTTAGGTTCCCTTTTAAAGGAGAGCCTTCTGCCTTCCCTGGATCAGTTCCGGCAATACGTTGGGAGTAAGGTGGGCAGCCTGCGTGGCCCTGTTGGGTGGGTGGGCAGCCCAACATGTCTGTTTCCGCTCCTTATTTTTGCAGTCCAAAGTTCAGTTCTCCACATTTGCATATCTAACGGCTCACGAAAAGCCGTCGGCCTTTTAGTGCGGAATTCTCCTAGCAGACACATGCCGGTATGCCATTTGGCATAATGAACCATTTACAGTCGTAAAGGTAAAGAGACCCCTGACCAGTTGTGGCCGACTCTGGGGTTGCGGCGCTCATCTCGCTTTATTGGCCGAGGGAGCTGGCATACAGTTTCCGGGTCATGTGGCCAGCATGACTAAGCTGCTTCTGGCGAACCAGAGCAGCGCACAGAAACGCCGTTTACCTTCCCGCCAGAGCGATACCTATTTATCTACTTGCACTTTGACGTGCTTTCGAACTGCTAGGTTGGCAGGAGCTGGGACCGAGCAACGGGAGCTCACCCCGTCACGACCTTCTGATCGGCAAGACCTAGGCTCTGTGGTTTAACCCACAGTGTCACCCGCATTAGGTCCCCTTTTAAAGGAGGTCCCCTTATGCGTTCGTACCCATAAGTTGCATTATTTGGAGCTCTGTATTCTGAGTTCTCACTGGCATCCAGCATGGAAATCTGCTTCGTGAGAATCTCAGCTTGTGCCTTTTTAAAATGAGTCTGGTTCTCTTGGCCAGAATGCCTGCCAGCAGTACTGACTGGAGGAATCTCAGAAGTTTATGTGTATGTGTGATTACTAGATTTCCAAGAATCGGGTTGTGGGGGAGGGGAGGGAGAGATTTCACTGCCCTCCAAAGTTCTCTGTCATTTTCTGAACCTGGCAAAATAATGTGTAATCGGTACATGTATCTGAAGAAGTGTGCATGCAGGCGAAAGCTCCTACCAATAACAAACTTAGTTGGTCTCTAAGGTGCTACTGGAAGGAATTTTTTTATTTATTTATTTTTTTTTAAATGATATTTATTAAAATTTCAGAGAAAAAAAGAATTACACAAAAACAAAAAGTAAAAATACCAGAAAAATACAAAATACAGAATAAAAGAATAAAAGACACTTAAAAAGAAAAAAAAAGAAAAATGGGTCAATCTTTCCTTAGCTTACATTCATATCCTTGTTTCCCTGACCTCCTCATACCTCCCTTCCCTGTATTTCAGTTCAATTAGTTAAGTCAGCAATTTCTTTCCCTCTTTGTTTTCTCATGATCCTTTAACTTAATATACTATAACTTTAAATTTTCATCTGTTATCAATCCTTTTTTACATACACCTTTATAGCATTACTGCTTAAACCACCTAGCTTCATTCCAACATCATTCTAACATTCATTAATTTTGCAATATTTCTGTAAATAGTCTTTAAATTTCTTCCAATCTTCTTCCACCGACTCTTCTCCCTGGTCTCGGATTCTGCCAGTCATTTCCGCCAATTCCATGTAGTCCATCACCTTCATCTGCCATTCTTCCAGAGTGGGTAGGTCTTGTGTCTTCCAATACTTTGCAATAAGTATTCTTGCTGCTGTTGTGGCATACATAAAGAAAGTTCTGTCCTTCTTTGGCACCATTTGGCCGACCATGCCCAGGAGAAAGGCCTCTGGTTTCTTCAGAAAGGTATATTTAAATACCCTTTTCATTTCATTATAAATCATCTCCCAGAAAGCCTTAATCCTTGGGCACGTCCACCAAAGGTGAAAGAATGTACCTTCGGTTTCTTTACATTTCCAACATTTATTATCGGGCAAATGATAGATTTTTGCAAGCTTGACTGGTGTCATGTACCACCTGTATATCATTTTCATAATATTCTCTTAAGGCATTACATGCCGTAAACTTCATACCTGTGGTCCATAACTGTTCCCAGTCAGCCATCATTATGTTATGTCCAACATCTTGTGCCCATTTAATCATAGCAGATTTAACCGTTTCATCCTGAGTATTCCATTTCAACAGCAAGTTATTATTATTTTTTCTTTCGACTATGGCAGACCAACACAGCTACCTACCTGTACCCGGTACTTTTTAAGCAGACTTGCTTAATTTGCACCATGTATACAGACTGCACATCAGCTCCCCCCCCCCATTAAATTAAAACTACCTTCTCCTACAGAAGTAAAGGTAAAGGGACCCCTGACCATTAGGTCCAGTCATGGACGACTCTTGGGTTGCGGCGCTCATTTTGCTTTATTGGCTGAGGGAGCCGGCGTACAGCTTCCGGGTCATGTGGCCAGCATGACTAAGCCGCTTCTGGCGAACCAGAGCAGCGCACGGAAACGCCATTTACCTTCCCGCTGGAGCAGTACCTATTTATCTACTTGCACTTTTGGGTGTGCTTTCAAACTGCTAGGTTGGCAGGAGCAGGGACCGAGCGACCAGAGCTCACCCCGTTGCGGGGATTCGAACCGCCGACCTTCTGATCGGCAAATCCTAGGCTCTGTGGTTTATCCCACAGCGCCACCCGTGTCCCTCTACAGAAGTAATCTCCCCAAATAACTGGTTTGCTCAGCGTGAGCAAGGATCAAAGCCTGCTTGCTGGCAATGGTTCAAATACCCATGTTCTTAATTTATTCGAGCAAAATGAAGCAACAAATTCCTGAACAGTTACCATAGATAAGCTCTCCCCCAAAACAACAACAACAACAACCACAGGTTGCTATGATTTCTTTCTTGTTAACTGTATAACGGTGGATGGTCTGAAATAGCCCATACTTCCTTTATGAATAAGAAGTGATATGTAATACAGTGGTACCTCGGGTTACAGATGCTTCAGGTTACAGATGCATCAGGTTACAGATGCTTCAGGTTACATACTCCGCTAACCCAGAAATAATACCTCGGGTTAAGAACTTTGCTTTAGGATGAGAACAGAAATTGCGGAGAGGCGGCAGCAGGAGGCCCCATTAGCTAAAGTGGTGCTTCAGGCTAAGAACAGTTTCAGGTTAAGAACGGACCTCCAGAATGAATTAAGTTCTTAACCCGAGGTACCACTGTAGCTAGGTCTGTCTTGTTGATTTTGGGGAATGGTGGGCAGTTTTCACTGCTCCCCCCTAGACACCCCATAAAATTACCTCTCCATTTTTATTTTTGCTTTTCCATTGCATCTTTTTAATTTGCAAGAAATGGACCCGTTTGCCGTGACACGAACAAGCTGCTGTAAGCCTTGAATATATGTACAAAGCCATGAACAACTTGAGTCCAGGGTACCTTAAGGACCAAGCTCAGTCATTGATATCATCCGAAGAAGCACTGTTAGTTGTTCCCCATGTTACAGAAGCCCTATTGTCTTCCACTAAAAGTAAGGCATTTAGCGTCACCAGGTCCATGCCGTGGAACTCTCTTCCAGCAGAGATACAGCGGGCACCCTCACTTTTGACTTTCCAGCATCTCTCGGGAAAAAACGTTTTTGTGCTGACAGACCTAAGTGTTTTTTTGTGTGTTTTTTAAAAGTCCCTCGAGTAGCCAGTCATTTTAATGATTTGTTCTGTACTGATTTTAATGGGATTTTTCTGTTTGGTTTTCGGATCGCTGTACCCCACACTGATATAGTTAATAAACGAGTAAGTTGACAGAAATGAGAAACGCAGTGCCAATCAAAAGAGAGTTCAGCATCAGCTAAAAAACAAAACAAAAGATAAAGCAGGCTTCCTCAACCTCGGCCCTCCAGATGTTTTGGGCCTACAACTCCCATGATCCCTAGCCAGCAGCACTAGTGGTCAGGGAGGATGGGAACTGTAGTCTCAAAACATCTGGAGCAGGCTTCCTCAACCTCGGCCATCCAGATGTTTCAAGACTACAATTCCCATCATGCCTGACCACTGGTCCTGCTAGCTAGGGATCATGGGAGTTGTAGGCCAAAAACATTGGGAGGCCCGAGGGTGAGGAAGCCTAGACTAAGAAAATGCAGCCTGAGATAAAACAACCCTACAATTCAGCAGGACAGATTGAAACAGGAACCCAAGTCGACCTCATGCTAGTTGATGATGAAAAGCCTGGGCAGATGATAAAAAGGCCTTCATCTGGTGTCCCAGTAAGTGGGTGTCCAGGAAGAGTGTTCCCCAGAGGGGTGGTTATCATGCCTGAGAATGGCCCCTCTGTGGTCGTCGTCTTCCTGACTTGAGATGGCCGGGGGAGAAGGGGAACATGGCAAAATGCCTCAAATGAAGACTGCAAAGTTTGGGTAGACTCAAGTGATTGAAGGCAGCCTTTGGGCACAAAGGCTACCCACTTGCCCCAAAGGTGTGAGCAATGCAGTTAAGCTGCAGCCCTTTTCAGTCCCCACCTTCATTTGAATGGAAGGAGACAGCTTTGCGAGCGTCCCATCACACCTGCATTGGTATGTCTGCGAAAGGGGTGTGTCAGGGAACTGCCATCGGAGTCAGGGCGAGAGGGAGGGCTCCAGAGGGATTCCAGAGAGCGTCCCGGGAGGGAGAGAAGCAGCACATCTTCTGGGGAAGGAAATCAGCGTCCCTCCAGTGGAGAAGGGGGGCAGATGGGGGAATCGGCGAGGTGGCTCCATGACTCCTCGCCGGGGACCAGCGGAGAGAGCACGGGTCCTCCACTGCCCACACCCTCCCTGCGCAGAAGGCTTCCGTGCAGGGAGAGTAGGCGGAGACTAGGCGTCAAAGAACTTCTTTGCTGGAAGAAGTTCAAGAAACGCCCACTGACGGATTCTGCCAGCGATTGAGACAGCCACGGGCGAGTGGCTGTCCGGACAGAAAGGGTTCACTCAGGCAACCCAGCCAGGTGTGGCGCCAATTTACGTACGAGCAACCCCTAGAACCATCACAGGGTGCTTGGTGTATTCTCAAAGGCTTTCCCCATTATTTGGATACCTGGTCATGCAAGGCTCCAAATCATGGAGGCAGCCTATGTATGAGCGGCAAGTGTCCGCTTTGCAGCAGTCCAACTATGGCTCCCATCTGCCCCAGTGAGCATAGTCAGTGGCCAGGGATGATGGGAGTTGTAGTTCAGCAACATCTGGAGGGCCAGATGTTGCCCACACCTGGTCTACACTTAACTGGCAGCGGCTCTCTTGGATTTCAGAGAGTGGGCATTCTCTGAGCTACATAGAGACACCTGGACTTGAACCTGGGACCCTCCCCATGCAAATCAGATGCTCTGCCAATGAGCTATTTCCCCCACTAATTTATATTTTTGTGAACAGTCAGTTTCACTGGTTCCAGCTGTTAATAATAATTTTATTATTGGTCCCTCACCCATCAATCTGGACGGCTCCCAACAGATATAAAAACATAATCAAACATCAAAAACTTCCCTAAACAGGGCTGCCTTCAGATGTCTTCTGAAAGTTGTATAGTTGTTTATTTCCTTGACATCTGATGGGAGGGCATTCCACAGGGCGGGTGCCACCACCGAGAAGGCCCTCTACCTGGTTCCCTGTAACCTCGCTTCTCACAATGAGGGAACTGCCAGAAGGCCCTCAGAGCTGGACCTCAGTGTCTGGGCAGAACGATGAGGGTGGAGACGCTCCTTCAGGTATACTGGGCTGAAGCCATTTAGGGCTTCAAAGGTCAGCACCAACTCTTTGAATCATGCTCGGAAACGTACTGGGTACCACTTGCTAGATTCCTCCCTGAAATAATCGCCTGCTTGACTTCTGCTTGCTTTTGCACCTCTTTGCAAAGGAGATGCCAGGATGTACGGTGGGCGCTCGGGTTACAAACATGATCCGTGCGGGAGGCACGTTCGCAACCCGCAGCACCTCGTCTGCACACGCGGGGGTTGCGATTCGGCGCTTCTGCGCATGCTCAAAGCGCAATTTAGCGGTTCTGCGCATGCACGAGAGCCGAAACCCGGAAGTAACCCGTTCCGGTGCTTCTGGGTTCGCCGCGGTGCGCAACCTGAAAACGCGCAACCTGAAACGTCTGTAACCCGAGGTATGCCTGTACTTTGAACTTTCTGTAATGCAAACCCCTTTGAGTAAAGAACCTACTTATCCTCTTCCTCCTTGCAATGGCTGGCTGTGAATCTGCAGCAGGGAGCTTACAAGTTTGTGCTTCTGTCACTCTGGGCAGCTGTTCAGCTGTGACAATGGCCTTCTCTGGGAATGAGAGAGGGAGGGAGGGAAGTCTCTGGGATCAGAGTGACCTTGAATGCCTCTTGGGAGCGGTGCAAGGCGGCACCAACAGGATTTTTGCACCCGAGCGGGGCTTCCTCCTCCTTCTGTGACGAGCTCCGTCATGGGCTGCTCTCGTGCCCCAGAGCGCTGCCGGGAAGCGCTTGGATCAGCTATGATTAATTTGACTCCCTCGGGGGAAGCGTTTGCTAAGACAGCGCAGGCGAAGACCTGGAATGGGGTCTTCCGTCTCGCCTCGTCAGGCTCGGAGCCATATATAGCGTGCCTCAAAGCAGCAGAATCTCCTGCACGAGCAAAATGCCACGAGGCTGTGTGTTTTTTCAGGGGTGGTGCAAAAACGAGGGTCGCGATATTGCAAGGACTCGTTTGCATGGGACAGTGGGGATCTTACGGGGACGTCGCTTAGTGGTGGAGGGTCTGCTTCACTGCCAGAAGGTCCCAGGCCCTGAATTGAATCCTGCCTGAAATGCTGGAGAGATGCTGCCAGCCAGTGTGGACAACATGGAGCTAGTGGCAAGGCCAGTGTGGTGTAGTGGTTAAGAGCGGTGGAATCGTAATCTGGTGAACTGGGTTCGCTTCCCTGCTCCTCCACCTGCAGCTGCTGGGTGACCTTGGGCTAGTCACACTTCTCTGAAGTCTCTCAGCCCCACTCACCTCACAGAGTGTTTGTTGTGGCGGAGGAAGGGAAAGGAGAATGTTAGCCGCATTGAGACTCCTTTGGGTAGTGATAAAGTGGAATATCAAATCCAAACTCTTCTTCTTCTTCTATGTCCCTACTGCGCACCCTAGCAACATGGGTTCTTAATTCTTATTTGTTTGGACCCTTTAGTAGCCCATTTCCGCTCCTCTGACTAAGGAAGTACCCTAAGCAGCTTAACAAGAGCAGAAATGACTGAAAAATAAATGCAGAAAATAACGCAAGCAGCAATTAAAAATAATAAAAGCTGGGGAGAGCCTTGGGAAAGAAACCTTTTTAAGGTGATTGGTGGATTGAGTAGCAAGACCAGTGGTGGGTGCAATGGTCAAGAAGGCGGTTTTTGCATGTGCCATAGAGGGAAGTGTGGGGCAGATGGGGCTCGTCCCCCTGGGAAGGGAGCCCATCTAGGAAAACTCATCCTAAACCTCCGCTGGCTTGTGGGGATATCTTGGGAGAAGAAAAGCCCAAGAAGGAAACCCTACAGAAATGCAAAGTGGATCCCCAAGACAGTTGGATGATGATGAAGAAGAAGAGTTTGGATTTGATATCCCACTTTATCACTACCCTAAGGAGTCTCAATCCTGCCAACCTAGCAGTTCAAAGCACATCAAAGTGCAAGTAGATAAATAGGTACCACTCGGGCAGGAAGGTAAACGGTGTTTCCGTGTGCTGCTTTGGTTCACCAGAAGCAGCTTAGTCATGCTGGTCACATGACCCGGAAGCTGTACGCCGGCTCCCTCGGCCAATAAAGCAAGATGAGCGCTGCAACCCCAGAGTCGTCCGCGACTGGACCTAATGGTCAGGGGTCCCTTTACCTATAAGGAGTCTCAAAGCGGATAACAATCTCCTTTCCCTTTCTCCCCTACAACAAACACCCTGTGAGGTGAGTGAGGCTGAGAGATTTCAGAGAAGTGTGACTAGCCCAAGGTCACCCAGCAGCTGCATGTGGAGGAGCAGGGACGCGAACCCGGTTCCCCAGATTACAAGTCCACTGCTCTTAACCACTACACCACACTGCATGACACCTTGTATGGCTCCTTCTGGCAACTCCTGCAGCCAAGCTAGTGCCCAACAACTTGCCCTGCTTTCCTTTGGACCACATCAGCGAGGCCAAGAGGCGGGTCTTGTTGCCTGGGCAGCCCAGGTCCTCCACACACACATCCCAGGTTTGCGCCCCGGGGAGGTCACTTCAGTGCTCCTAACACAGAGGTTTGACCTCACCCTCGGAGGCACACTCCATTGATTCTTGAGACAGATGGATGCCAGCAACAACAGCAGTAATAATAATAATAATAATAATAATAATAATAATAATAATAATAATAATTTATACCCCGCCCATCTGGCTGGGTCCCCCCAGCCACTCTGGGTGGCTTCCAACAAAACACTAAAATACTATAACTTCCCTAAACAGGGCTGCCTTCAGATGTCTTCTAAAAGTCTGGTAGTAGTTGTTCTCTTTGACATGTGGTGGGGAGGGCGTTCCACAGGGCGGGTGCCACTACCGAGAAGGCCCTCTGCCTGGTTCCCTGTAGCTTTGCTTCTCTGAATGAGGGAACTGCCAGAAGGCCCTCAGAGCTGGACCTCTGTGTCCAGGCAGAATGATGGGGGTGGAGATGTTCCTTCAGATATACTGGACCCGGCTGTTTAGGGCTTTAAAGGTCAGCTCAATGTGTGTGCATTGATCAGGGCTGGGGAGTGTATGGCCTTATAGATATTGAGGGGCCACAACTCCCAATATCTCTGACCATTGTTTATGCTGGCTGGGGCTGATGAGAGCTGGAGTCCAGCTGCATCTGGAGGGCCACACGTTCCTTAGCTGTGTGGCATTCGATGGATAGGTTAGTTTCTTTTACAATCTCGTGCTGATATATTTCCCCCTTGCTGGTTTTCTGAGGGGTGCTGCAGAGACAGAAGAAATGTAAACGAAGCCGTAAGAATTGCCTTTCCCCTGTTGCTTAAAGCCACAAAGTGCCTTTGTCTGTGAAAGCTACACCTAACCAGTGCCAGAATAGCTCGTTTGGTTAGAGCGTGGTGCTGATAATGCCAAGGTTGCAGGTTCAATCCCTGTAAGGAATAACGGCATATTCCTGCATTGCAAAGGGTTGGTCTAGATGGCACCTTAGGGTCTTTTCCTACTCTACAATTCTGTGAGCTATTGCAGCCAATAGAGTGTGGATTTGCCCACTCTGTCCGGACCAGCAGATTCACCTGCCCACCCAGAATTTGCTCCTGAGGAGCAAGGTCTTTCGTTTCAGCCTGGCCGCAGGCTCCTATTGCACACTGGCGGGTCACCGCGACCCTCTCTGCCATTTAATCTGGCTCATGTTCATAATAGTGCGCTGGCAAGAGGCACCCGAGTTCCCCCCAGATGGCTTTAATAACTCTCTTTCTCCCTCTCTACGCTATCTGGTCATGATCAGCTCAGGATCTTTCTCCCCGAAGCATTGAAAAAGCAAGCGGATTGTGCAATTAAAAAAGAGAAGAAGATAATAAAGCGTCCCCTAGTCGCGTGCCAACGCAGCTCAGCTGCAAAACTGTCAACTGCAGAATCAAGTCAGACTGAGGGAGGGGAAAGGAGGGAGGAATAAACTCCAAAGAGGCAGTAGAGGGAGAATGTGTGTGTGTGTGCGTGCTCAGATCAGGGTTGGATTATGCAATGGGTTTTTTTTTTGAGGAAGGCAGCTGCCAAGGAGGAGATGCCAAAAATCCACTCGCTCGGCTTTGGCCGATTATTTTGCTGTCGTTCCGAAGAAGCTCAGAAGGCAGCTCGGGGCTTATTCTGTAATGAAGTTTCAACCGTTTATTTATCTTTCTTGTTCTCTGGAGGCAGCCACCCAGAGGGGAGGCTTCACTGCCTGACCCTCTCCTCCCAGGCCACAGATCACACCAGCCTCGCTTTGCACCTTCCTTGATTCTGTTTGGCAGACTGAAATGCGTCCTTGAAGCCTGATCTCGCCTCTTGCCTTCCTGGATAGAGAGGCTGTGTGTCTGTGTCTGTGTGTGTGTGTGTGTGTGTGTGTGTGTGTGTGTGTGTTTGAGTGTGTTTAGAAACTAGAATACTATACAAAGGTAATGTTTGCATTCGTCGCTCTGTCCGCTTTTGCCTGTCGCCCATGGCCCCCAGAAGACTGCCTCAAAAGGAATTCGGCCCTCAGGCTCCCAAGCTTCCCTTCCCTCATTATGCAACGAAGAACATTCGGCCTGATATCCTTTTGTTGCAGTGTTACAGCCTCCCACTGATCATTTGTTCACGTTCATCGCATTTCTCCTTTACTTAAAGGTAAAGGGACCCCTGACCATTAGGTCCAGTCGTGGCCAACTCTGGGGTTGTGGCGCTCATCTCACTTTATTGGCCGAGGGAGCTGGCGTACAGCTTCCGGGTCATGTGGCCAGCATGACTAAGCCGCTTCTGGCGAACCAGAGCAGCGCATGGAAACGCTGTTTACCTTCCCGCTGGAGTGGTACCTATTTATCTACTTGCACTTTGACGTGCTTTCGAACTGCTAGGTTGGCAGGAGCAGGGAGCTCACCCCGTCGCAGGGATTTGAACCGCCGACCATTCTGATCGGCAAGTCCTAGGCTCTGTGGTTTAACCCACAGCGCCACCCGCGTCCCTCAGCCTCACCTGCGACACCCGCATCCCTTTACTTGCCTAACTGCAAACCCCCTTTTCTGTTGTTGTTCAGTGAGTTGTTGTTTTGCACTGGAACGCTTTAATCTACCCTAATTGTGCAATCCCAGATTTGGGGTGGGGACGGGGACTGAATCCCTCGTGCAAAATACTGTCAGTCTGCAGGCGACCGATGATGCCTCGGCCTCTTTCTCCAGTTGCCTCCCCCTACCTGTCTGCAATCGAAACCCTAGAGTGCGTCTTTCTTTCGAGCAGATTTACGTCTCTGCATCAAAGAACTTTTTCATCCCGGAACGGCTGCTCTCTACCAGTTGCAAGTTGCAACCAAGAGCTTCTTCAATGTGACTTTAAAGTTTTGGAGGTGATGCTTCGCCCCCGGCAATAATTTATTATTATTTTTAAAGCCCACTGGAGTGTGTGCCTTAACTCATCCTAATGAGGTCTCTTAATGAAGCAAACGAGTCGCTGTTTTTAATGGGCTGTAATTACCTTGGAGAAGGTGTGCAGGGATCTTCTGAGTGATAGCTGACAGGATCCCCCTGTGTGACGGTCAGTGGTGCGGCTGCGTGTGTGTTGTTGCTTTTTGCTAACTTCAGGTGTGATTCTCTCTCACCTTGCTTTCCCCCTGGGAAATCTGGGTCCGTAGGGACCCTGCAGCCAGCAGACCTAATTTGGCTGACCCCCCAATTTATTTATTTACTGAATTTCTCTACAGTTTCCAAGACTCTCTGCAAGAGGTGATGCGGTTTAAGCACATAATAATAATAATTTATTATTTATACCCTACCCATCTGGCTGGGTTTCCTCAGCCACTCTGGGCGGCTTCCAGCAAAAGATTAAAATACAGTAATTCATCAAATATTAAAAGCTTCCCTAAACAGGGCTGCCTTCAGATGTCTTCTAAAAGTCAGATAGTTGTTTATTTCTTTGACATCTGATGGGAGGGCATTTTACTGGGTGGGTGCCACCACCGAGAAGGCCCTCTGCCTGGTTCCCTGTAACCTCACTTCTCGCAATGAGGGAACCGCCAGAAGGCCCTCAGCGCTGGACCTCAGCGTCCGGGCAGAACGATGCGTGTGGCGACGCTTCTTCAGGTCTACTGGGTAGAGGCCGTTTAGGGTTTTAAAGGTCAGCACCGACACTTTGAATTGTGTCCGGAAACGTACCGGGAGCTAATGTAGGTCTTTCAACACCGGTGTTATGTGGTCTTGGGGGCCACTCCCAGTCACCAAATGTATGGTGTGTTCACAGCTGTGGTCACTGTGGCTAGTACCCATTGATAGCGTGGTATAGTGGACTACAGTGTCAGGCTGGGACCCGGGAGACCAGGGTTCAAACCCCCACAAAGCACCCTAGGTGACCTTTGACCAGTCACAGTATCTCAGCCTCACAGGGTCGTTGTGAAGATGAAATGGAGTGGACAGGGTAGAAGGGTGTTCACCACTTTGAGCTGAGTGGTTTGTGGGGACCTGTACCTGTCAGGAGGCAGGAAACGGAGGAAGGGGAAGCTTCAGAGCTGGAGGAAGAGGCAGGCCAGGCAAGAGAAGGGCCAGGGGCTTTCCCTCCCTCCCCTATACCACTGTCCCCCAGAACCAGGAGGGGATTGAAGAGGGATGAGCAGAGGATGTTTCCATGCAGGCGTAGTCTCCGGCTGCAAGTATGCAGCCTGTTGGGGGAAGGTACATGAACTGGTGGAGTGATCCCCTGCTGCTGCAATTTCTCCAGACCTGGGAATAGCTGCCTAGACCCTAGATTGGTGGGGTTAGTGAGGAAATGTCCATAGAACAGGCATGGCCAAACTTGGTCCTCCAGATGTTTTGGGACTACAATTCCTATCATCCCTGACCACTGGTCCTGTTAGCTAGGGATCATGGGAATTGTAGTCCCAAAACATCTGGAGAGCAAAGTTTGGCCATGCCTGCCATAGAACTACTTGATAATGATTTACAGATGGTATTTAACTCCAAGCAGACTTGCTAAGATGTATAGGACTGAATCAGATAAGTGCTGGAGATGCAATGAGACTGAGGATACGTTTGTCCATATGTGGTGGACCTGTAAAAGGGTAAAAGAGTATTGGGAAATAATTTATAATGAATTGAAAAAAATGTTTTAAAGCACCTTTCAAAAAACAAACACCCAACATCCTTTTTGTTGGGGATAATTCAGATGGAAATTCCCAGGTGTCAAAAAAGGTTATTTATGTACGCCGCTACGGCGCCCCATGTTTCGTTAGCCCCAAAATGGAAAACGAGCGAGGTGGAATATGTGCAGCTTGCAGATCTAACTTATAGAATAAGAGAACAAGAAGAACATACGTTGGAAGAAGATTGGAAAATGTTTATTGAATATATGGGGAATAATTGTGTGCACTTGTTGGCAGCCTTAAGATAAATTCAACAGTGTAAATAAGTTTTGATGGAAGTAACAATGGAATACTGAATGGTTTAGTATGCAGGGATTTATGCTATGCAAAGCGAATCATGGAAAGAGAAGAAGGGAAGTCATTGATATTTTAAGGTTGTCTGAATGAATATTCTAAATTGTAAACAGAAAATTTAATAAAAATGAGAGATAGAGAGAGAGAGAGAGAGAGAGAGAGAGAGGAAATGTCAGTTTGCCTTAATAAGCAAGCCTGCTCCGTTCCTGGTTGTATTTCAGATATCTTGGTGGGGACATAAGGATGGAAGCCACCTGAACTGTCTTGGGCTCCATCCGTTCCAAGGGGAAGAAGACGGTGGAGTCCCACCACCACTTGGCTCTTCTTAACCTTCCTCTCATTTCTTCCCACAGCTGATAGTCGAAAAGACAACTGACTACCCGGCCGCCGAATACTCTTTGGTGGAGGATGTAGCCCTCCACTTCACGTGTTTGATGGACAGACTGAACGAGCAGCGCCTCTTTCAACCAGACCTGTGCGACGTGGACATTGTCCTGCTGCAGCAGAGGAACGTCTTCCCGGCTCACAAGGGGGTCCTCGCCGCCTACAGCCACTTCTTCCACTCCCTCTTCACCCAGAACAAGCAGCTGCAGCGGGTGGAGCTCTCCCTGGAGGCCTTGACCTCCCAGGGCCTCCAGCAGATCCTCAACTTCATCTACACCTCCAAGCTCCTGGTCAATGCCTGCAACGTGCAGGACGTCCTGAATGCGGCCGCCGTCCTGCAGATGAGCGACATTGCGTCCTCCTGCCAGGAGCTGATCAGCACCAGGTCCCTGGGCTTAGCCATGGCCAGCAACATGGCGCTGCCTCCGGACAGCTGTGGCAAGGGCGTCCCGTCGCAATACTACTGCAACATCAAGCAGGAGATGGACCCGGCACCGCACCCCAAGATCTACGCCCGGGAAGGGAACGACCCCTACTCGGTGCGGGTTGAGGACGGCGCGGCGTGCGGGGGCAACCAGAACCTCCCTGCCGTGGCTGGCAAGAAGTATTACAAGGAGGAGAAAGATGGTGGCCCGCCCATCTGCAAGGTGGAGGGCGAAGAGCCCGACGTGGCCCTGGGCAGCCAAAGCTCTTACAACCGGGGAGAGCAGATCATCGTGGAGGTCAACCTCAACAATCAAACCCTCAACGTCTCGAAAGGGACGGAGGGGAAGTCTCCGGCCGCCGACCAGACGGCCGGCATCGCCGCGGTGATTGGGCGGCCCGAAGGGGAAGGGCGTGGCGTGGACGAGGATGGCGAGGAGGAAGAGAACGGGGAAGGAGAGGAGGAAGAGGATGACGGCGAGGTGGGGGAGGAGGAGGAAGAGGAGGAGCACAGCGAGGAGGAAGAGCTGGAGGAGACCACCGAGGAGGAGGACGAGGAGGACGAGGAAGATGGCGAGGAGGTGGCGGACATCAAGAGGGAGAGGTCCGGGCTGCCCCACAAGGCCAGCAGGCCCTCCAAGGCCGCCCAGGCCGCTGCATCCACCAGGTCCCAGGAGGCGGTTGCCGTGGCGATGGAAGACGAGGAGGTGGAGGAAGCGGAGGAGGAAGGGGAGGACCAGAGGGGCAGGAAGAGGAAGAAGGAGCCGGACGGGGTGGGCCAGAAGGTGAAGCTGGAGGAGAAGCAGCACTACCCCTGCAAGAAGTGCCCCCGGGTCTTCAACAACCGCTGGTACCTGGAGAAGCACATGAACGTCACCCACAGCCGCATGCAGATCTGCGACAAGTGTGGCAAGCGCTTCCTGCTGGAGAGCGAGCTGCTGCTGCACCACCAGACGGACTGCGAGAAGAACATCCAGGTGAGAAGGGAGACCACTGCCCCTCGAGGTGCTACAGTTCAGCCCGTCCGCCCTTCGCAGGCTTTGGAGCATGGGGCGCCCTCTGTGAACTAGAACGGATAGGAGTCGTGACGTAGGCTGCTGCCTTATGCTGAGACAGACCCACTGACTGGCCCAGCCGTCCCGGGTTTCAGGCAGGGGAGTCTCCCACCCCTGGAGAGACTAACAATAACAGTAATAATAATAATAATAATAATAATAATAATAATAATATTTTCACACAGGAAAAAGCAAAAACAAACGAAACACGCAACAAAGACAATAAACTAAACACAAAAGAAGATGTGGAAAACCAATACATTTTTTGATGATGATGATAATAATAATAATAATAATAATAATTTATTTATACATACATACCCCGCCCATCTGACCGAGTCGCCCCAGCCACTCTGGGCAGCTTCCGATGCCTATAAAAACATACTAAAACATCCAGTGTCAATAGTAACAATCTGATCCAATATATTACAAAAAATCACAATACAGTGGTACCTCGGGTTACAGACGCTTCAGGTTACAGACTCCACTAACGCAGAAATAGTACCCCGGGTTAAGAACTTTGCTTCAGGATGAGAACAGAAATCGTGCAGCAGCAGCAGCAGGAGGCCCCGTTAGCTAAAGTGGTGCTTCAGGTTAAGAACAGTTTCAAGTTAAGAACGGACCTCCAGAAGGAGTTAAGTTCTTAACCCGAGGTACCACTGTAACTTTAAAACAAACAAGTTATATCAAATGAAGTAATATTCAATAATCCATTAAAATCTAATAGTAAACAGTAAAATTAAACATCAGCAAATGATAATTAAACAGTTTACATACCAGTTAAAGTAAAGGATTACTGCTCTGTAACCAATAAGAACAACAGCAAATCGCAATGCATAACATACCACAAAACAAACAAAACCAGGATTTGAATCTGAGACCCGTTCTCGGTGCAATGCACAGTTTATGAGTCACTCCCTTCGAAGCACCTTGACATGATAACTCCCAGTGCAATAAAAACATATATTAAGCAACTGCAGGATAGCTCAGTCGGTAGAGCATGAGACTCTTAATCTCAGGGTTGGGAGTTCAAGCCCCATGTTGAGTGAAGGATTGCTGTATGGCAGGGGGTTGGAGATCAGTGCCAGACTTACATATATCATAGAATCATAGAATCATAGAGTTGGAAGAGACCACAAGGGCCATCGAGTCCAACCCCCTGCCAAGCAGGAAACACCATCAGAGCACTCCTGACATATGGTTGTCAAGCCTCTGCTTAAAGACCTCCAAAGAAGGAGACTCCACCACACTCCTTGGCAGCAAATTCCACTGTCGAACAGCTCTTACTGTCAGGAAGTTCTTCCTAATGTTTAGGTGGAATCTTCTTTCTTGTAGTTTGGATCCATTGCTCCGTGTCCGCTTCTCTGGAGCAGCAGAAAACAACCTTTCTCCCTCCTCTATGTGACATCCTTTTATATATTTGAACATGGCTATCATATCACCCCTTAACCTCCTCTTCTCCAGGCTAAACATGCCCAGCTCCCTTAGCCGTTCCTCATAAGGCATCGTTTCCAGGCCTTTGACCATTTTGGTTGCCCTCCTCTGGACACGTTCCAGTTTGTCAGTGTCCTTCTTGAACTGTGGTGCCCAGAACTGGACACAGTACTCCAGGTGAGGTCTGACCAGAGCAGAATACAGTGGCACTATTACTTCCCTTGATCTAGATGCTATACTCCTATTGATGAGGCCCAGAATTGCATTGGCTTTTTAGCTGCCGCGTCACACTGTTGGCTCATGTCAAGTTTGTGGTCAACCAAGACTCCTAGATCCTTTTCACATGTACTGCTCTCAAGCCAGGTGTCACCCATCTTGTATTTGTGCCTCTCAAATACAAGCTGTAGCTTAGGGCCCCACTCTCTTAGGGCCCCACTCTCTTGGGCCCCCCCAAAAAATTTAAAGAAAAAAAACTGGATGTACATTTCCAAAATATAAGGGGGGAAAAAATCCAACACAAAAAATGGCAACAGTTTGTTTGGTTAGGCAAAGAATTATAGACACCAAGAGACAGGACTGCTTGTAGAAATAGATAGATATATCTCTTATATATCTCTTTTTTCTTGTATCCAAAAATGCAAGAAGGGCTTTTACACTTGCCAGAAGCTCGACTCTAACCCTAACCCTAACCCTAACCCTAACCCTAACCCTCGCCGGTCTTGGAAGGATCCTTTAAAAAAGTCCCATACAACCAGAGAAATTGCGCCTGTCCACTGGGGGATATAGGAAGCCCTGAACACATATTTTTTAGATGTCCCTTTTACAATGTAAAGAAACCATTGACCCCCTGCTGGTGAGGCTTGCTGACCTCCCGGTAAAGCAAAAATTCGATCTTCTCCTGTTAGGCAAAGGATTGTTAGGCGACCCGGATTGTCGCCAGATTCTGCGCACAGATCTGTAGGCGCAGACTATCCCCCAATTCAGTCTAGTTTGTTAAGAAAATTCCCAAACCCGGATCCACGGGTGACTTTGGGTCATTTCTCTAAGGTAGCCTGTTTTAAAGTTTTTATGTGTTTATATGCCTATCGCACTTTTAAACTTAAAATCCATTCTTGTATATTGTTTTAAATGTTTGTTTTGTTATAGGGATTGTAGCTCCATTTGTGTTTCTCAAGCTGGTCTCTGACCGTAAAAAATTTGAAATCAAACAGTTTGTTGTTGACAAAGGACAGCTGGACATATAAAGGGCCCCATTACCTTCAGTAGCTGAGGGCCGCATCAAACCTAAATCCTGCCTTGTAGATGATCCTCATGGTCCCTTCCAACCCTATGAATTGCACATACGTTTTTGCTAGGCTCGGGTCCCCCTGACTCTCCCCATCTCCTTTGCTCTACCTCTCTTTCAAATCAGAACCAGTGAAGGCAGTGAAGGTCCTGTGTGAGTGCCTGGAGGCGGTTGGAGGATGGATGGCGGCTAACAGATTGAGGTTGAATCCTGACAAGACAGAAGTACTGTTCTTGGGGGACAGGGGGTGGGCAGGTGTGGGGGACTCCCTGGTCCTGAATGGGGTAACTGTGCCCCTGAAGGACCAGGTGCGCAGCCTGGGAGTCATTCTGGACTCACAGCTGTCCATGGAGGCGCAGGTTAATTCTGTGTCCAGGGCAGCTGTTTATCAGCTCCATCTGGTACGCAGGCTGAGACCCTACCTGCCTACACACTGTCAGTCTTGCCAGAGTGGTGCATGCTCTAGTTATCTCTTGCTTGGATTACTGCAATGCCCTCTATATGGAGCTACCTTTGAAGGTGACCCGGAAACTACAACTAATGCGGCAGCTAGACTGATGACTGGGAGCGGCCACCGAGACCACATAACACCGGTCTTGAAAGACCTACATTGGCTCCCAGTACGTTTCCGAGCACAATTCAAAGTGTTGGTGCTGACCTTTAAAGCCCTAAATGGCCTCAGCCCAGTATACCTGAAGGAAAGTCTCCACCTCCATCGTTCTGCACGGACACTGAGGTCCAGCGCCAAGGGCCTTCTGGCAGTTCCCTCACTGCGAGAAGCCAAGTTACAGGGAACCAGGCAGAGGGCCTTCTCGGTGGTGGCACCCGCCCTGTGGAACGCCCTCCCTCCAGATGTCAAAGAGAAGAACAACTACCAGACTTTTAGAAGACATCTGAAGGCAGCCCTCTTTAGGGAAGCTTTTAATGTTTAACAGACCACTGTATTTTAATACTTTGTTGGAAGCCGCCCAGAGTGGCTGGGGAAGCCCAGCCAGATGGGCGGGGTATAAATAATAAATTATTATTATTATATTATTATTTGCAGTGCATCACTTGTGGGAAAGCCTTCAAGAAGCTATGGTCTCTCCATGAGCACAACAAGATCGTCCATGGCTATGCGGAGAAGAAGTTCTCCTGCGAGATTTGCGAGAAAAAGTTCTACACGATGGCGCATGTCCGGAAGCACATGGTCGGTGAGTGGGGCCGGGGAGGGGCCCCCGTGCGCAGCAGTAGGTTTGCCACCCCCTGAGGAGCACCCAGAACCAGGCAGCGTTTCAGCGCTGTGCAAGATGGCCCACCTTCCCGGGCGCAAATCAGGGTGCTAGGCTTTGCCCCACGAAACCTTGCAAGCCTGGCTTCATCTTACATTCTAACTATTTCACGTAACCCCTTTTCAAGTGTTTGCTTTTATCGGTGCCTTTAAAAGAACGGTTCAGTCCAGACCAGTGGTTCTCAACCTGTGGGTCCCCAGATCTTGTTGGACTACAACTCCCATCATCCCTGAGCTCTGGCCTTGCTAGCTAGGGGTGATGGGAGTTGTAGTCCAACAACATCTGGGGACCCACAGGTTGAGAAAGGCTGGTCCAGACACACACACAAACACCCAACCTGGTGGCCTGCAGATGTTTTTGGACTACAACTCCCATCATTGCTGGCTAGCAAGACCAGTGGTCAGGGATGATGGGAGTTGTAGTCTGAAAAAGAGATGGAGACCAAAGTTTGGGAAAAACTGGTTTGGATTAACTTTGGTGAAACACTTTAGGGGTCTTTTGTGAGTTGCACAGTCAGAATTGCACCATGCTGCTCTTACTGAGCTGTACCACTCCAGATTGCAGAAAGGCGAGAGAGAGGCCACACTTTACTTGTCTAGCCACCATATTTACCTCGAATCTAATACTCACCATTTTTGGCCAAATTACGTTGCGAAAATTTAGGCGCACATTAGATTCAATGGGACATTTACATTCACCAGTGAATACTTTTTTTGGTTTCCAGGTTCTGAAAAAGGAGGTGTACGTTAGATTCGATGGTGTATTAGACTCTAGTAAATACGGTTTCCCCTACAGATAGAAAGCTACTTCTAGTCTAATTTTTTTACTGTATTATGGCCGGTATTGTTTTCCTTTGCAGTCCTTGCTGTATTTTCAGTCATGGATCCTGTATTGCTTGTGACATTGTTAAAACCATTTTTTTTTTAAAAAAAACACATTTTCTTTAAGAGTCAGGAAGAACATTTCTAGTTCCAAGTGTCCAATAAGATCCGGGACTACGCATTATAATTTTGCTTCACCAAAGAAAAATATCTAAACATTTCTAACACGGGGTTTCCCAAACTTGGGTCTCCAGCTGCTTTTGGACTACAACTCCCATCATCCCTATCTAGCAGGGCCAGTGGTCAAGGATGATGGGAACTGTAGTCCAAAAAAGTTTGGGAAACATTGTACATTCTCCTCCCTGATCTGCTAATTTTCTAAGTGCAGGTTTTGGAGGCCGTTCCGATTTTGCGGCCGCTCAGCAGCTTGCACGACCGGACGCTGCCAGTTCTTCGTTCCGGCAGGAGCTGAACCCGTACGATTTTGCTGTCCATGTGTTTTGGCTCATTCCTAACCGTACAGATTTCCCTGGTAACCACGATTCTCCCTTGCTTTGCAGCCCACACCAAGGACATGCCGTTCACCTGTGAAACGTGTGGGAAGTCGTTCAAGCGAAGTATGTCTTTGAAGGTCCACTCTCTGCAGCACTCGGGGGAGAAGCCTTTCAAATGTGAGGTGAGAACCAGGTTCAGCCCGTCTTCTCTTCTTCTGCTTTCCAGTCTGCGGCGCGAACTTGGTCTGATGGATCTGTATTCAAGTCCTCTTCTTCTGCAGCCCATAGCCATCCTGCTTCCACGCAGAAAGGTTGAGTGTTTGAAACTCCATGCGTGAATCTGGGCTGGCTGCATTTTCTTAGTCCAGGCTTCCTCAACCTCGGCCCTCCCGATGTTTTTTGGCCTACAACTCCCATGATCCCTAGCTAGCAGGACCAGTGGTCAGGGATGATGGGAATTGTAGTCTCAAAACATCGGGAGGGTTGCAGTTGAGGAAGCCTGCTCCAGATGCTTTGAGACTACAATTCCCATCTGAGGAATTCCCACTGAGGTCCAGCGCCGAGGGTCTTCTGGCAGTTCCCTCACTGCGAGAATCCAAGTTACAGGGAACCAGGCAGAGGGCCTTCTCGGTGGTGGTACCCGCCCTGTGGAACGCCCTCCCACCAGATGTCAAAGAGAACAACAACTACCAGACTTTTAGAAGACATCTGAAGGCAGCCCTGTTTAGGGAAGCTTTTAATGTTTGATGTTTTATTGTGCTTTTAGTGTTCTGTTGGGAGCCGCCCAGAGTGGCTGGGGAAACCCAGCCAGATGGCCAGGGTATAAATAATAAATTATTATAATTATTTATTATTGTTATTGGGGAAGCCTGGAGTAACACTTGTTCTGTTTTGGTTTATAAAAGTGCGGGATGTTTTCACTTCCTGGGAATTGCAGTTTTATTGCAACATAGCTCATTATTTGAACTGGACTTTCTAAACACAGTTAAAAAAACATACTGTTATGCACAGTGTTATTTTTAAAGTATATATTTACAGATGTGTTCATATTCTATGGCAGGTTGAGGAACCCTACCTCGCAGGGTTGTTTTGTGGGTAAAATGCCGTGGGAAGGATAGTAGCATAATACGTCATTTTTGAGCTCCTGGGAGGAAAGGCAGGATATAAATAAAACTGCTGAATGAAATGGACCTTTTGGTTTAATACAACAGAGACCTTTCCTTCATGCAAACTTCCTGCCTTTTCTTATTCCATACCTCCATTCTCTCCCTGTCCAGAACTGCAACGAGAGGTTCCAGTACAAGTACCAACTCCGTTCTCACATGAGCATCCACATCGGTCACAAGCAGTTCATGTGCCAGTGGTGCGGGAAGGACTTCAACATGAAGCAGTACTTTGACGAGCACATGAAAACACACACAGGTAAGGGATCCATGGCTCGGGGTGGACAAACCAGCCAAGTTTCCGTTTCTTGCCTTCCCAGTCTTAAGTCCAGCCCCATTTCCACAGCTGCGCACAGTACTGACTGACCAGTGCCTGTAACGTCATGAACCCACCTCTTCTGTCCTGTCCCATATTCCAAGCGGTTTCACAAAACTTCTCTTTAAAATTGTGAATCCTTTCTTGTTCCAACAAGTTTTGGGGAAATGGACTGCTTTTAATTAAAGGGTTGGTTCTGTGCTGTTTTTATTACAGTTATTTTCAACAGATTTTATATATGCACATAGTTTTAATTCTATCCATGTGTGGTCGTTATTTAATGATTCCCCCTCCCTCTATGTTTAGCAGGTCTTATTTTTATTTCTAAGCTGCCTTAAGTCTCCTGTCAGGGGAAAATGTGGTAGGTAAATAGATATATCGTCATTATCACTTTATTTGTATGCTGTCTCAAAGAAAGGAATAGGCTCAAAGAAGCTCGCAACAGGGAGAACAATACATAAGCAACCATTATAATTTCAAAACAGCAACCATAACAAAACCTCAACAATAAACCATGACTGAATTCTGGAAAGCTGGAGGCCTTGTGGGTAGGTGGGTCCTGTCTCCCAGAACCATCCCCACAAAGCGTGTTCTCCTTCATGGAGAGCACGTGTTGCAGTGGGGGCCGCCAGGACACTCCAAAGTTGGGGGCGGGCTAATTGATCGTTGGCCACTGATGCGATTGGGGCTTCCCTTCTTGTTGGGAAAGAAGTTAATGTTGCCATTTGTTGATTGACAGCCAGAAATGCTAAAACTCCTTGCACGAGGCTAGGGCTTCCTCTTTTTGCCCGTGCATCGGATTGCCCGTCCCCCCCCCCCTAGAATTAGGGTTGTTCGCTTTGACCTTGCTATGCCTGTCATGGGGTCATCTGTTCTTGGGGCAGGGGCCCGGTAGGAATTTTGTCCATCTGGCTGATTGGCTGGGGCCATTTGGTTTTTGCCTACTGCGTAGCAAATCGTCACAACTTGTAAGGTTGCGGTTAGGCATTGGTTTATGGTTTGGTTGGTTGAGGGGCATGGATTGGCTGTGCCTGCCCCTCTAATGCTGCTGCTGCAAGGGATTCCGTTAAAGGAATGGGGGCTAACTATTGCTTGTCCACTCTGTCAAGGGGGCTCGGGCCATAGCAATGAGCTCCTGGTTGCATTTGGGGTGAGGGCAGGTTCCCTGCTCCATCGCTACCCCCAAGTGTATTCCCCTATTCTGACTTTCGCATCATGCGGAATGTCAGTCTGTCCCCCACGGTGGGGGCAGATAGTCGCAGCCAATGCCTAAGCAACCACTCACAAATTTGTATTTTAATAAATTTGTGGCCAAAATTATGCCAAAAATCTTAAACAAAAAATTCTGTGTGATGTGTGAGTTATTGGGGTGGCCCTGGGGACCTCGACACGCAACAAACCTGTGAGGCAGATTATTCTGAGAAGCAGTGACTGGCCCCAAATCACCCAGTAAGCTTCATGGGCAATTGGGGATTCGAGCCCTGGCCTCCTGGGTCATTTTGCATTTTTATGTTGCGAACTATCCTGTGATCTTTGGAGGAAGGGCAGTAGTACACAACTTTAATCAATAATCAGAATAGCGATAATAGTCCTGTACTCTAACCACTTTGCTAAACTGGCTCTACCAGTCATCAAATATATATAATTATGTTAAATTAGCCAACAAGTTTCTAGGCCTCAGCTTTCCCAAAGACCCCATTGGCACCACCACTCTCCGCCCCCTCCAATTCCTTTTAATCCCAGAGTGTCAGTTTGCATTTCTTAGTACAAAAAGTACATCTGATATGTAGAGATCTTTCCTATTCTACTTAACTCTTCTGCAAGCTTCTCTGTATGAAAGAAGCAAGCAGAAGGTTCCTGATGTTTGGGTTATCCCTTCAGAGGAGCTGAGTGCAGCTGGCTTTAACTGCTTCTCTTATCTCTTTCAGTCAAGGTCACGCTGACTATAAAAGCAGGGCCAGAAGGAATCTTGTTTTCCCTTTCTCTTTCTATCTCTTTCCCTTCTGGTGTGGTGTTCTGTACACCAGGCATGTCCAAAGTCCATTTTGGGGGCCTAATCCGGCCCTCTGGTCGTTTGAATCTGGCCCCTGTGGCAGTTTATCTCCTGGAGTAAAATCCTAAAAAAAGCTGAACAACTTCAATCCTAAAAAAAGGATTCGGTTGGCTCTTTGGTCGGCCCTCAGGGCCCTTTACTTCATCAAATCTGGCCCTCTCTGAAAAAAGTTTGGACACCACTGCTGTACATAGAATGTTTAGCATTAAGGTTTAGATTTATTATAAATTACTGTAAGTTAAAGTCAAGTCTGCTGCAACTGGATTTCTTATGGACAGAGCCGATCCTGAATGTATTGGATTTGCGACCATTTTGCTCATTTGCCTTCAGTTAAATAAGTTGGAGTTCTTGTTATTAAATATACCAATATATCTGACTATGGACTTACATGAACTTATCCCTACTCATACACTCTTATCTCTAATTCTGTAACGAATTATTGTGTTATACATATCCTTATGAGTTTGAGTTCGTAATCTCTGTTTGAGTTTATAATCTCTATTTGAGTTTGTAATCCTTGCCAGAATACATACCTTTGAATGGATTAGTTTTTGTTACAATTGACTATTGATTTGTGAGTAGGGACCACTCCCACGACTGAAATTTATATTGGCCAGAGTTCTGGGTGTGCTTTTTTCTTGGCATTTGCTTTCAGTAGCAGTAAAGCTCTGCTGGATGAAAGACAGTTGCCTCTGGCCTATTTTTGGGGGAATCCTGCAACGTGTTTAAGTTGTTACTCTGCTAACTATACGTTGGAGTTGCGTGGTGAGTCCCGCCCCCCCCACCAGTAGATATAAAGACACGGGACAACATTATTTAGGTGAATGGGCTAAAATTGGCCACAAATTGGTTACAGGTGATGAGCGGTATTGGCTTAGGCATTTGTCCTAATCAACTATCCGGCTTCAGTCTGTCTGTCTGAGAGGCCGGGAAGGGTTAACACCAGCAGGGGGAGTCCCGCTGATGCACATCAACTAGGCACTCCCCGGGGTCACCGCTCGGGGGCGTGCCTTGGGCCCTGGCCTCCCTAGGCTTCGTATGAGGCCACGCCCCCCAGAGTCCTTTACCGGACCACCCTTCACTATCCGGGGGAGGTGATGGCGCTCCTCCCCCCATTCATCTGCATAACAACACCCTGACCAATGCCTAAGCTCCAAACCGTAGAAGTTGTGATGATTTGCTACGAGGTAGGCGAAAATACCAAGTGGCTGGTGCCAATTTGCCAAGTGGAAAAATTCCTACCAGGCCCCTTAACGGCGACCAACCGAAGTCCATAGCAAGGTCAAAGGAGAAACCTTGAAGGGTGGGTGGGTGGGTGGGAAATTCCCCAGCTGATCGGCGGCAAAAGAGGACGCTCCTCTGCCGCGCTTGCCCTTAAATGGGGCAAGCCACACCCCCTGAGCCAGCCGATTGGCTGGCCAGGGAATGACGCGTCAGAGGATTCCCCTGGTCGCGCAGGGCTGGGAGCCAGCCACCGCGCGAGTGTTGGGGGCAGGAAGTCCGCAATGCCACCTCCTCCTTAGGTCGGAAGTAGCTTTCTGCTCCTCCCTTTCCATGGAGGCGCAGATTGCAGTTATAACATAGGTGGTATTTTTTCATCTCTTCCAAGCTAAGCAGTTGGCTCCTTATCTCTCTTGCCCTGACCTAGCCATTGTAATCCACGCGACGGTCACCTCCAGACTGGATTATTGTAACTCGCTTTACGTGGGGCTGCCCTTGAGACTGACCCAGAAACTCCAGCAGGTGCAGAATGCCGCGGCGAGATTCCTTATAGGGTCTTCGCTGCGAGATCACATTCACCCGGTGCGATACCAGCTGCATTGGCTCCTGGTGGAGTACAGGATCAGGTTTAAGGTGCTGGTTTTAACTTTTAAAGCCCTATACGTCCTAGGACCCTCGTACCTATGGGACCGCCTCTCCTGGTATGTCCCACAGAGAAACTTACGGTCTTCAAATAAAAACATCTTGAAGGTCCCAGGCCACAGAGAGGTTAGGCTGGCCTCAACTAGAGCTAGGGCTTTTTTGGCTGTGGCTCCGATCTGGTGGAACGCTCTGTCACAAGAGACTAGGGCCCTGCGGGACTTGACATTTTTCCGCAGGGCCTGCAAGACAGAACTGTTCCACCAGGCCTTTGGCCAGGGCACAGCCTGACTCCCTCCTTTGGCAATCTTCGCGGAGCTCTGGCCCAATGGTTGCCATCGGTTAGATTAGAATTAATTTTATAATGAATGATTTTAGAGTGTTGTGTTGTGTTGTACTGTTGTTAGCCACCCTGAGCCCGGCTTCGGCTGGGGAGGGCGGGATATAAATAAAATTATTTATTATTATTATTATTATTATTATTAATATGGAGTAGGATTTCAATGACACAACGTCTCCTGCCATCTTTCTTCTCCCTTCTCCTCAGGCGAAAAGCCATATATCTGTGAGATCTGTGGGAAGAGCTTCACCAGCCGGCCCAACATGAAGCGCCACCGCCGGACGCACACGGGCGAGAAGCCCTACCCTTGCGACGTCTGCGGCCAGCGCTTCCGCTTCTCCAACATGCTGAAGGCCCACAAGGAGAAGTGCTTCCGGGTGAGCAACCCCGTGGCCTCGGACCCCAACGGCAACAACGCCATCGGCCTCGCCGCTCCCCAGGCCGCCGGCTCGCCTCAACTGACCACGGGCGTCCCACTGCATGGTACACCACATTCCCATGCGCTCCCGTTGCCCCTCATGCATGTGCACGCACAGAGCATCCCTCCTCCGCCGCTCTTGCCGCCGCCGCCGCCTCTCTTCCCAGGCAGCAGAGTGAACTTGAACAACTAGGCCCTCGCCCAGCTGTTGAGCGTGCGGGCGCAGAACCGGCCTTTAATTCAGTAAGTGCCCAGCAGGTGTCAGTCACGAATGTCGTGGGCAGCCGTTGGTTTGGGTTTTTCTTCTTCAACAGGGCCTGGTCTTTTGCCTCCAGCTTGAAGAGGTTGAGGTTCTCAACTCCGAGCAGGAGGACCAAGCCATCTTTGCTGCTTGAGTTGCATAGAATTTGAAGGTCACGTTATGCTTTCTTCACGCGTGGAAGGCTGTAGACCAAATGCCGCTGCCGTCCATTTTTGGGGGCTCTGAAGATCTTGGGGTGTGCTAAAGGCTGTTCGACAGACCTTGTCGGTTTTATTGGCTCGGATGAGAGCATTTTCTTTAGCTTATCCTGCCATGTATGGTGGAGAGGAGAGGTTGAGCACATAACAAGAGTCCTTTTGGATTAGTCTATCTAGTCTAGCACCATGTTCTCACAGTGGCCAACCTAAGGTGAAGCCCCTGAGTAGCACTTTCTCCCCATTAACACCAGTCCTGAGAGATCTGCATTGGCTCCCAGTACGTTACCGAGCACAATTCAAAGTGTTGGTGCTGACCTTTAAAGCCCTAAAGGGCCTTGGTCCTGTATACCTGAAGGAGCGTCTCCACCCCCATCGTTCAGGCCGGACACTGAGGTCCAGCACCGAGGGCCTTCTGGTGGTTCCCTCATTGCGAGAAGTGAGGTTACAGGGAACCAGACAGAGAGGGCCTTCTCGGTAGTGGCGCCCGCCCTGTGGAATGCCCTCCCTTCAGATGTGAAGGAAATAAGTAGCTATCTTATCTTTAAAAGACATCTGAAGGCAGCCCTGTTTAGGGAAGTTTTTAATATTTAGTGCTGTATTGTTTTTAATACTCGATTGGGAGCCACCCAGAGTGGCTGGGGAAACCCAGCCAGATGGGCGGGGTATAAATAACAAATTATTATTATTATTATTATTTATTATTATATTTGCCATTCCCAGCAACCACTTTGCAGAGGCATATAGCGTCCTTCCCTTGAAGTGTTTATGTTTCCCTTGAACCTGTGGCCTTCTGGGTGTTGCTGGGCAATCACCTTCCTTCACTCCTGACCCACTATGGGCCATCAGCACTTGCAGGGCCAGAAGGTTCCTTGTCCTCCACCTTGGAGCTTGGTTGGGGCTGAGAAGCTTTCATGCAAGCCAACAAGCTTGGAAGAGATCCATTGCGGCTTCTCGTTTCTCTCTCTAAAGCAGCGGTTCTCAACTTGTGGGTCCCCAGATGTTGTTGGACTACAACTCCCATCATCCCTGAGCTCTGGCCTTGCTAGCTAGGGGTGATGGGAGTTGTAGTTCTCCCCCCCTCAAAAATATTTATCAGTTTTCTCTTATAACACAGAGACAAAAACACAAAAGAAAAACATTACATTTGACACAACATAAAAACTTAACAACAATAAAAACACACAAAATAAAAGAAGAAATTTTCCTTCTTATACCCTGGTGTATTTACATTGCTACAAAGACTTCCTCGACACCCTCCCAATCTGGATTTCATCATATCACATATTTGGCAGTTCCCAATTTCATATTTATAACATCAATATCTTCTTTCAGTACATACTTCTTAACCTTACTTCCAATTGTAATCCATAATAATCTTTATTATTAAACTTTTTCTATCCCTTAACTTAACCTATTACTTCTAGGGATTTCTTAATTATCTTATATTACAGTATCTCACTAAATATTCTTTAAATTTCTTCCAGTCTTCTTATGTTTCCTCCTCTTTCTGGTCGCGGATTCTTCCAGTCAGGTCATCCAGCTCCGATAAGTCCACCATCTTCATCTGCCATTCATCTATTGTCGGTATTTCTTGCAGTTTCCAATTTTTGGCTAATGAAAGTCTTCCTGCTGTAGTGGCATACAAAAAGAGTCTAACACCCTTCTTGGGCAATTCTGGTCCTGTCATTCCAAGTAGAAAGGCTTCTGGTTTCTTAATAAATGTATTTTTCAACATTTTTTCTTAATTCATTATAAATCTTTCCCCAGAAGTCTTTCACCTTGGGAGGTGAACAAAGAAAGAGATGGGAGTTGTAGTTCAACAACATCTGGGGATCTACAGGTTGAGAAAGGCTGCTCTAAAGGAATAGGGAAAAGTGAAACCTTCTCTCGCAGTTGAGCTGCAGGGAAACAGCAAGCCCAGGGTGTGGTTGATGCCATGATTTGTGGAAGTGGCTGGATGTTGTGTCTCCCAGAGGCCAGCTTTCCATTCCTTAAGAGCCCAGGAAGCTGCCTTCATACCAAAACAAGACCTGTGTCCATCTAGTTCAATATTGTCTACACTGAATGGTAGCAGCTCCCTAGAATTTCAGGAGGGGGGTTTCTCCCAGCCCGACCAGAAGATGACTTGGGGGATTGACCTGGGACCTTCTGGTTGCAAAGTAAATACTCTAACCATTGAGCCTACAGCCCTTCCTCCCCTTCCTCCATCTTTCGGTATCAGCACGACTTGTGACTTCTCATTCTCTGTCGCTCGGGGGACCCGTTCGTCCCTGCACAATGGGAAAGACGAGGCTGAACCTCGTTGGTGGTCCGTGAAATTGCACCAGAGGAGAAGAGTCCATCTCTTGATTTTCGTCTTGGTGTACAGATCCCCTCTCACCCTTGATGGTTTGCATGGCTTTAAGACAAGCAGGCTCTACGGAAGAGTCTTTGTGTACCCAAGAAATGGAAATAAGGGCATAGGCGCTTGATCTACAGCCTTCTGTTAATTCCAGTAATTTGTCAGTGGGCTAATGCACTAAGCAAACTCCGTTAGGGTCGTACCTGCCTACTTTCTCCTCTGCCAAATGCTTCTGAGCTGGCCTGGGCAAGGATCTCTGGCCTCTTTTTTTTGTAACATAAATAATTTATTATTTTAACCTTTTTGCACTTTATTAATCCATCATAGTAACTCTTCCTCGTTTGGGTGCTGGGAAGGTATTCCGGACTCTGTTGCGGGCTAATGAAATCAGCAGGCCAGTTCGCTCACCTGCCACTGCCAAGCCGGTTCTGTTCATTTCAAAGACAAGACGCCTCATTCAAGCCCTACGGAAAACAGGCAGAACTTGAACAGCTGCAGCGCATAGGTGGATTTGCCCCATCGGCATGCAAAAAAACAACAACACAACCCCACATGCGCACGGACAGGTCCGTGTGCAATGGGCGACTTGCGAGTCTCTTTGGGTATTCAGTTCGGCAATTTCTCTTCCTTTGCCTGAAACTTCACGGCTCCTCTTCAGCTAAGACGCCCAGACCACTTTGCCTCTCTACGTATTTGGGGTTTTTTTCTGTGTGTATATGTGTGTGTCTTTAGTGTGAACTGAAGCAGGGCTGGTCCCTGGAACAACAGCCATAACAAACGGACAGGAAAAGATGCGGCGAGAAAGTTGTGGCTTGGGCGGGTGGGGGAAAAGGTCGAGATGGTGCAATAATTGCTAGGTGTGTCGGGACGAAACGCCGCGGCGCCGAACCCTTTGGGAAGAAGACGTCGCGGGCCTCTTCGTGAGAGAGGCTTCCCGGTTTGACTGTCCGTGGCAACCTCTTCCAGAGACTTTACAGAGTGATGGCTAGCGTCGGGGAGAGGGGGTGTCTTTCCTGCACCCTTCAAAATAACCCCAACAACCTCGTGTTACTTTGGAGAAAGAGAAAAAGGCAACGTACCATGACTCCACATGCCTCAAAGGTAGTATTCTGAACGCGTTGCTTTCTACAGCGTTTGAAACCCGTTGCCCGAATATGCCAAGAACGAAGAGAAACTAAAAAGACGCGTGTATCGGGAACTCTCTCTTTTAGCGTTACAAACAAAAAAATATTTACAATGAAGCACTTTATTCTATATAGATCTGGGGTGGGTGGGGTTGGGGGGTGGGGAGGAGGATGATCTGAGTTCTGAAAACATTGGTTTAAAAAAAGAAAAGAAGCGGCATCAGAAATGTTCTGCAAAATATATTGCAAACTTTACGTTTTAACAGTCGTGTGAATAACCTGCTTATGCTTTTACTTTCTAACTTGCAAGGGAAGCAGCACTCTGTGGTCAATGATCGCAGCCACTTCTTGCGTTTCTCCTGTTTCTCCTCAAATTGAAGGGTGCTGGGAGGGGAGGGGGCGGACGACAGAGCAGCTTTGGCAACGTTGGCCAGTGGTGTTTAGTTCCCGTTGGGTCTGGCAGGGCGGAAGGTGGGGAGCCCACCAGTAGGTGGCGCCAGAGCCAGCAGCAGGCAGAGCAAATTCTCACTAGGCGGCCATCTTGTCCCACCCTGCTGAGTTGTATGAGGGCAAAACTGAGCCTAAAAAGGAGGAGGCAGGGCCATTCTCCCCACAAACACCTCTTTTGGCCACGTAATGCTAGTCTGTGCATGCAGGGAAGGCGCTATTGGCTGCAAAGGATCTGTGTGTGTTAGGGGCAAGCTTAATCGTTCCCCGGGGGAGGGGGAGAATAGGTAGGGGGAGCGTCCCCAATTTTCTCCCCTTAAAATCAAACCACCTGCATGTGCAGCACCGTCAGCCCATAAGGGTGTTCTCTGAGGTAACATGGAGCATTGTTCCAGAAGCTTCCAGAGAGTTGTGTTGAATTTGTGGCTGTAACCCCCAGAGAGGAGGACCCCTGCAAGTGCCAGGGACCATTCCTGGTATGCCAGGCTGCTTCCCACCCCACCCCAAATTATCCAGAAGCGAGTCCTTCTCCAAATAAACCAGGAGACCCCACCCACCCAAATTTTCGGGTTTCACTGTTGCCATAAAAATGACTCCCGTTGCCCTTATGCAAGCTATTCCTTCTCGGCTTCAGGCCTCTCATTCCCTCCCCTCTCAATAATCATACTGACCTTGCAGAGTTGTTGAAAGGTTTGCAAGCTAGGGGAAGCTGAGCGTTTCGGACCGCGTTTCAGAGCTGCCATCCCACATCTCTGGGAAGACACTTTCAACCTTTCCTTGGTTGGTTGGTTGGTGGGTGGGTGGGTGAGTTTGTTTCCATCACTATAGTTCACCCCACATTTATCACTTGTGGGGAGATGCCAGCCTGCAGGCCAGTCTCGGCCAGCCAGGGTTTCAGTTTGGTCCGTGAGGTAGTCCGCATGAAACCATATCAACTTGGCCATCAGATGACGTTACCTCAGTGGGCAGTTGACGTCAGATGGCGGGTGGGTTGGGCAGGTGCTGTCAGTCCCTGCAGGCTTCAGCTGATATGTAAGCATGGGTTCAATCCTAGGGAACTGCCCTCTGCAATCGCTCCCTGCAGAATATCTCATCAGCGGCTGAGCAGCAAGTTCATTCCTGCTTGGGTGCTATCTCCCCACATCCCTGTGGACCATTGGGCAGGTCTGTGGGACCAGCCAATCACTGCAACATCATCCAACCAAAATCCAGGTGTTCCCACCCACCTGTTGAAAGTTGGCCCATGGTGGCTTGGGAGAATAAAGAGCTGGCCTGTTCTATATAAGGCAAACACATTGCTGGGAAAAGTGGCATATCGCAGGTTGGAAGATCCAACGCCTGGACATCTTAAGCTGTGGTTCTGCAGGAGTATCCACGAGATCCTTAGCTTTTCAAACGCGCTGCTCCAAAAACAAGCCAGGCACACAGAGACCTGCCTTGTTGCTGCTTGGGTTACCTGCCCAGAGCCCAGAATTGCTTAGGCTAGGGGTGTGAGATGCCTGTTTCTTCCTCCAGGTACAGTAGGACTGCAACTCCCATCATCTCTTGCCACGGGCCATGCTGGCTGGGGATGATGGGAGCTGGAGTTCAACCGAACCTGGAAGGGCCACTGATTCCTCAACCCTACTCTGCCTTGACTGGGAGCAGCTTTTGCAGGGTCCTGGGTAGGTCTCCTGCTAACCAGTGGTCCTTGAAACTTGGCGTGCCGTTGGGGGTTGAACCCAGCATCTTCTAAGCCCAAGCAGATGTTCTGTCACTGAGCTATGGCCCGTCCCCTCTCTACATCCCCTGTGTGGATATTCTTGCAAGAGTGCAGGTAGCATCTGCTGGAAGCCTCCAAAACCGGGGATATGACTGAATAGGACCTTTTTGGCGGCGAGGCAGGATCCCTACTGAGTGTGCCTGTGTGATGCTTGCGTTTCAGAGAATCATAGAATTGTCGAGTGGGAAGGGACCCCAAGGGTCATCCAGTCCAACCCCCTGCGATGCAGAAATCTCAACATGCAGTCTCCCATTCCCCACCCCTCATTCCAGTTCAGGTGCCTGCCTAACTATTGTGTGAATCTGGAAAGGGGAAGGAGAGTTTCTGCACCCTTTCTAGGCTCCTGTGAATGAATGGATGATTGTGTACAGGATGCCGGTGTGCCCTTTTCTCCTCCTGATTTAGGGAGGCTGGACACTTGGGCAAAGCTGCATGCAACACTCTTTTTATCCCTGGCATACCAAAAGGACGTGTGTTATCACAAAGAACGTCGGAAGAACAGTTCAGGGAGTCAGGCATGTTTAGCCTGGAAGAGAGGAGATGAGATAAAGGTAAAGGGACCCCTGACCATTAGGTCCAGTCGTGGCCGACTCTGGTGTTGCGGCGCTCATCTTGCTTTACTGGCCGAGGGAGCCAGCATACAGCTTCCGGGTCATGTGGCCAGCATGACTAAGCCGCTTCTGGCGAACCAGAGCAGCACACAGAAACGCCGTTTACCTTCCCACCGGAGCGGTGCCTATTTATCTACTTGCACTTTGAGGTGCTTTTGAACTTCTAGGTGGGCAGGAGCAGGGACCGAGCAATGGGAGATCACCCCGTTGCGGGGATTCGAACCGCTGACCTGATTGGCAAGTCCTAGGCTCTGTGGTTTAACCCACAGTGCCACCCGCGTCCCTAGGACATGAGATAGCCATCTTCAAATATATCAAGGGCTATGGAAGAGAGAACGAGCTTGTTTTCTCCTGCTCCAGAGGGTAGGACTCAAACCAAGGGCTTCAAGCGACGAGAAAGGAGATTCCAGCTAAACTTCAGACCTGCCTTTCTGGCAGTGAGAGCTGTTTGACAGCGGACTCCCACGAGAGGGGGTGGACTCTCCTTCCTCGGAGGTTTTTAAGCAGAGGTTAGGTGGCCTTCTGTTATGGATGCTCTAGTTGAGATTCCTGCATTTTTAAGGGGTTGGGCCCCTCCCAACTCTATGAAGAGTCCTGTTGGATCAGGTCAAAGGCCCACCTAATCTAGTCCAGTTTCCTGTTCCCACGGTGGCCAACAAGACGCTTGCCCAAAGCTTCCAAGCAGGACCCGATCGCAACACCTCTCTCGCGCATTGTGATTTCCAACAGCCTCCATTCAGAGACCTCTGGCAGTGTTGGCAGAGCATAGCTGCCATGTCTAGTAGCTCTCAGTAGCCCTTTCCTCCATCAGTTTGCCCAATCCTCCTTCAAAGCCATCTAAGGCCATTATTGCCGCTTGTGGGAGTGAAGCCCCTAGTCCAGGGGTGGCCAACTCCCAAGAGACTGTGATCTACAGTGGTACCTCGGCTTACAGACGCTTCAGGTTACAGATGCTTCAGGTTACAGACTCCGCTAACCCAAAAATAGTACCTCGGGTTAAGAACTTTGCTTCAGGATGAGAACAGAAATTGTGCGGTGGTGGCGGGAGGCCCCATTAGCTAAAGTGGAGCTTCAGGTTAAGAACAGTTTCAGGTTAAGAATGGACCTCCAGAACGAATTAAGTTCTTAACCCAAGGTACCACTGTAGAGGAAGGAGTGACCTGTTCACGTTCAGCTCGTGGGCTTCCCAGGGGTGCAGCCATAGCCCCAGGAACATGATTTTGAGGTGGTGCAAACCAAGCACGGATCCCTGTCCAGTGATCTACTGATCTTCCAATAGGTCACTGTCTACCTGTTGGACATGCCTGTCCTAGTCTAATAACCTCTGTGTAGGGTGAAGAAGCACTTTGTCTCTCCTGAATCCTGACCGCAGCGTTAGGAAGAGAGCATGCTAGGAATTCCTGCCCCGGGAGATGCAAACGGAGGTTTTCTTGCATGACCCTCTCCACGCCCTCTGTCTGCGTTCTGACAACAGCCCTGTGACGTTGGCCAATTTAAAAATGGAGAGTTGAGGAGGCAGTGAGTGAGAAAGAGTGGCTTGGCTACCCTGCGTCTAATAAAGCTGATTGTGAAACGTGAAGCCAGTTCACAACTCGGGTGTTTGACTACTTTGTGATTACACCAGTCAACAAAAGTTTGAAGGAAAGATCAGAAGCAAATGCCCAGGCTTCCTATGAATAGATTATTTGAGGCTTCGTAGAGCAGCTTGCTAGATAGAAGCTAAGCCATTTCTACAGGGGTTTGGGGAGACCAGGCTGGCCCCATCTCTCCTGCAACATTACAGAAAAGACAGGTGAGTGTGAGTACAGAACATCCTTCAGAACTTGGGCTGATTACAAAATTGAGCCTGGGTTTTTTCCCCCTGGCATATCGTACCAGCCTGCTAACTTTCTTAAGGTTTCACTATGAAAAGCTCCTTGGTAACAGCTCCTTTATTACGACAGACTCCTTGTTAACAATGTCGTCTTCTTCTTCTTTTAGGGAATTGGAAATGAGCGTTGAGGGTCTCTGATCTGTCATTTGAACCATAAAACATTCCTAATGCTTTTTTTTTTAATTAAAAAGTATATATACATATATTATTTAGGCCCTGCTTCTTCCAATTAATATCAAACACTCAACGGACAGTGGGACCTTGCTTAATCTAAACAAAATGTTCTGTTTTGTTGAGGGACATTTTTTGAGGGGGGTGGGGAGGAATTGGAGAGCTGTTTCCAAATCTTACACCAAAATAAAACGGAACTTTCTTGATCTGAGTGCGCGTGCCGTTCTTTTTCCAGGAGGAAAATCTCTTGTGTGTCTAGTTATTTGTGAGCCTCAGTGTCTATTGTTGAGATGTTCAGGGGAAAGTTGGGAATATAAGACGGAACAAGCGATTTGAGTCTGAGGTTACTGGAACACACGGTTTGACCTAAAGGGTTTAGCTACCCCAGGAGAAAGAGAGAGGAATCTGTGGGAGAAGGGACAGAGTCAAGAGCATGGGTAGGCAAACTAAGGGCCGAGGGCCGGATCAGGCCCAATCGCCTTCTAAATCTGGCCTGCGGGCGGTCCGGGAATCAGCATGTTTTTACATGAGTAGAATGTGTCCTTTCATTTAAAATGCATCTCTAGGTTATTTGTGGGGCCTGCCTGGTGTTTTTATATGAGTAGAATGTGTCCTTTTATTTAAAATGCATCTCTGGGTTATTTGTAAAGGTAAAGGGACCCCTGACCATTAGGTCCAGTCACAGACGACTCTGGGGTTGCGGCGCTCATCTCACTTTATTGGCCAAGGGAGCCGGCGTACAGCTTCCAGGTCATGTGGCCAGCATGACTAAGCCGCTTCTGGCGAACCTGAGCAGCGCACGGAAATGCCGTTTACCTTCCCGCCAGAGCGGTACCTATTTATCTACTTGCACTTTGATGTGCTTTCGAACTGCCAGGTTGGCAGGAGCAGGGACTGAGCAACGGGAGCCTACCCCGTCGCTGGGATTCGAACCGCCAACCTTCTGATCGGCAAGTCCTAGGCTCTGTGGTTTAACCCACAGCGCCACCCGTGTCCCAATGGATTATTTGTGGGGCATAGGCATTTATTCATTTTTTCCCCCAATATATAGTCCAGCCCCCCACAAGGTCTGAGGGACAGTGGACCGGCCCCCTGCTTAAAAAGTTTGCTGACCCCTGGTCAAGAAGGCCAGTGCCTTCCCATTTCCAGAACATCTTCAGATTGTTCCATCTTCCCTGGGCTACCAGACAAAGAGCTGCAGATCTTGAGGGGGCCCTGAGGGGACCCTGGAGCTGGTGGGGTGGTGGGCAGGGCAGCTAGTAGCAGGCAGAACCAAAGAATCAATGGGGGCGCAGAAAACCTGTTCCCTTCTTCCTCTCTTGCAAAGACACAGTGGGCACTTAAGCAAGCATCAGATACTGTCACGCCCAGCCACTGAGCCAGTAAGTCAACTACAGATTTCAGATTCCCAGGCATCGACATCAAATACAGTGGTACCTCGGGTTACATACGCTTCAGGCTACAGATGCTTCAGGTTACAGACTCCGCTAACCCAGAAATAGTACCTCGGGTTAAGAACTTTGCTTCAGGATGAGAACAGAAATCGTGTGGCGGCAGCGTGAGGCCCCATTAGCTAAAGTGGTGCTTCAGGTTAAGAACAGTTTCAGTTTAAGAACAGACCTCCAGAACGAATTAAGTTCTTAACCCGAGGTACCACTGTACCTAGATATACCTCAGGTTTTTTCCCCCTGTCCATCTGTCTGGGTAGAAGCAGAAAAGACTCCGGGGAGTTCCTCAATAATAGGAAATTGGTGACTATGTCTTCAGGGTACAGAGAACAGCTGGGCTATGTAGTTTCGGCAAGATTGCAAGGTCTTGCCTGCCTTCCCTGAGCGACTTGCCTGGTGTAGTGGTTAACAGCGGTGCACTCGTAATCTGGTGAACTGGGTTTGCTTCCCCGCTCCTCCACATGCAGCTGCTGGGTGACCTTGGGCCAATCACACTTCTTTGAAGTCTCTCAGCCTCACTCACCTCACAGAGTGTTTGTTGTGGGGGAGGAAGGGAAAGGAGAATGCTAGCCGCTTTGAGACTCCTTAGGGTAGTGATAAAGCAGGATATCAAAACCAAACTCCTCTTATTCCTCTCTGTAGCTGCCGCTCCCTCCCAGGTCAGTAAATAAAAGAGGGTGAAGTTGTGCTAAGATTTAGGGAACTGCATATGTTGTGCTAAGATTTAGGGAACTGCCCACCAACTCCTGCCCAACTTGATTGTGCTTGCTTGTACAAATTTCCTTCCACAAATTTCTTGCACAAATGCCAGCCCGTCTATTACGACTTTTCATTATCCCAGTGCTCATTAGCGAAACCAAGTAAATAAGGCAGGAAGCAGCAAATGTAGCAGTTTTTCAAAATGTTTTACCTAACCAAAAAAAGTGACACTCATCAAAACGGACTTACAAAAGAAAGAATTTGGGGAGGCAGGGAGAAAAAGAGATCTTGGTAGCAGGAAGTTAAAAGTGATGTTGGGATGCAATCACATCTTTGTTAATCGCAGAACGTTGAGCCGCACGGGCAGAAAGGTCGCGCCTGAGGCGTACTGGATCTCTCGGAGAACACCTTCCCACTTCTTCCCTTCTTCGTCGTACCTGGAAAAGTCAGGAACAGAACTGGATGAGACCAAGATGGGGGGAATGGACCTACAGTTCTTATATCGACTGGCGTAAAATGCACAGGCGCCAGGACGTTTGTTTACTGATTTTCACAAACTCTTATGCATGTGATTCCTTGATTGTAAAAGAAAAAGGGGGAGGGGGACACTCAAAAGTTCTTTACAAAAAAGATAAAACAATAAAATCCAGAAAAATCCACAACCGTATTTGAAGACATTCAAAAGTTAAAACACTGGAACTAAACTTGCCTCGGCTTTCTAAGCACCTGGGTAAGGTAAAGGTAAAGGGACCCCTGACCATTAGGTCCAGTCGCAGACGACTCTGGGGTTGTGGCGCTCATCTTGTTTTATTGGCCAAGGGAGCCAGCGTACAGCTTCCGGGTCATGTGGCCAGCATGACCAAGCCGCTTCTGGCGAACCAGAGCAGCGCATGGAAACGCTGTTTACCTTCCCGCCGGAGTGGTACCTATTTATCTACTTGCACTTTGGCGTGCTTTCGAACTGCTAGGTTGGCAGGAGCAGGGACCGAGCAACGGGAGCTCACCCATCGTGCAAGTCCTAGGCTCTGTGGTTTAACCCACAGCGCCACCCGCGTCCCTTTTAAGCACTTGGGTTGTTGTTGTTGTTGTTGTTTAGTCGTTTAGTCGTGTCCAACTCTTCGTGACCCCATGGACCAGAGCACGCCAGGCACTACTGTCTTCCACTGCCTGGGTAGGCTTGTCTAAACAGGAATGGTTTTAGCAGGCGCCAAAAAGTGCAGCGACAGAGCCTGCTTGATATCACAAGGCAGGGAGTTCCCAAGTTCCACGCTAAAGTTCTATTACATCAAAATGTTCTATTAACTCCCTCCCTCCATGTTTTAGATAGATTTTGTTTTTTGAAACGTATTGGGACTGGTGCTTTTTAATTTGTGCATCACTGATCTGGAGAAAGGATGTAAGACCGTGTGGTTCTCTGTTCTGCCCGGCATTTACTCCATGCAGCACTGATTCCATCACGCTGCTGCTCGCCTGCCACTCAAAACTGCATTATTATTCTCTGTGGCGGAATTATGCGATTTGCATAATTGCATAAATTACGGTGCCATTTAGATTCTTCCACCCCATTTGCAGAGGATAGGTGGGTAAGGGGGATGCAATTAGTTATGTATCATTCGCAGCCTGATACTCTAAATAAAAAAATTCCTTCCAGTAGCACTTTAGAGACCAGCTAAGTTAGTTATTGGTATGAGCTTTCGTGTGCATGCACACTTCTTCAAATACCAGATTCTTCAGGTATCTGAAGAAGTGTGCTTGCACACAAAAAGCTCATACCTAAATTGATTTTTGATTTTATTGTTATAAACGCCTTATACCGTATTTTATGCTAGGGTTTTTGTAGCATCAATTTAAGTGTTTTAAATTAGTTGTTAGCCGCCCTGAGCCCAGTTTCTTGAACTGGGAAGAGCGGGGTATACATAAAATATTATTATTATTATTATTATTATTATTATTATTATTATTATGATACCAATAACTAATTTAGTTGGTCTCTAAGGTGCTACTGGAAGGGGGTTTTTTTATTTTGTTTCGACTATGACAGACCAACACGGCTACCTCCCTGTAACTTGGAATACTCTGACAGCCCAAATCTGCCATGAAGTAGCTAAGTTTTCAGGCAACCCCAAATTCTAGCGAGCCGAGAAAACAGGGTCAGTCTCAACGGCTCCAAAAAGAGCTCTCCAAATGGGGAGATGGTTGATGCAGCGGCAAAGGAGGGCCGCACTATAAAAATCAATGATCCACGTTGGGGCAAAACCAAGGACTCCCACATAAAGCTGCACAAAATTAATCTGTGGAACTCCTTGCCACAAGATGGCCAAGGTGGCTTTAAAAGGGGATTGAGCGCTTCCATGAAGAAGGGTGTGTGTGTGTGTGTGTGTGTGTGTGTGTGTGTGTGTGTTTCTATCAATGGCAACTCATTATCGTGGCTCTGTGGCATCACCTACTGTTCAGAGCTAGTAGGGATAGCTCAGTTGGTTAGAGCGTGGTGCTAATAGTGCCAAGGTTGCAGGTTCCATCCCCGTATGGGACAGCCGAATATTCCTGCATTGGAGGGGGTTGCGCTAGATGATCCTCAGGGTCCCTTCTGACTCCACAATTCTATGGTTCTATGTAGCACAGCTAAAAGTCATTTCCTGGTATAATAGGCACTCGCATAAAAACCCACAATCACAACAAAACACTTCTAATAAATGAGAAATCTTCCATTTGCATTTGCTTCTTTCCCATGAATGCCAGCGAGGCTGAACCATGTCGGCATGTCTTACCTCCAAACGTCGTTGAGCTCTGTTGGCACCAGTTCCCCCGACTCTGTCTCCACGGTGGCAAAGCCTCCAATCAGGTAGAGAGTACCTGCCAAGCTGACCAGGCTGACGGAGCTGCGCTCCTGGGGGAATTCCGGGAAGGTTTCCCACCTGACATGGCACAGAAAACCAGATGAGCGTGAGGATGCAGACCTCTCTGTGCCTGCATGTTCCCTGGCTGACATCCCTATGTGCATAAGAGCACTAGATATGGGGCATGCAATGGGGCACAAGTACAAAGCAATGGGCACCAAAATCCTACTACCACTCTCATCCAGATTCCTTCCATCGAGACTCTCCACTGGACAGGGAATTCTGGGTGGGATTGAACTATCCTGTCTAGTCCTAATGCAGAGGTACCTGGCCAAAGGTTTGTATACCTGCTGCATCTCTGTGTGAGTAGTTGCGCAGAACAGGCCTCTATCTATCTGTAAGCATCACACAGATCAGTGACTCACGCAGAGTGCAACGGGGAACCTCCTCTGTCTGATAATTCTGATTCTGGCACAATTTGCAAATAAGCTTCTGCAGCACAGGAATTTTAGTGGTGGTGGGGAGAAATGTGCTTCGGGGTTCAATAGTTCTGGGAAGTCCTGGTCAGGAGGGGAGGATTCGAACAAAAGATTTAAATTACGAGAAAGGAGATTCCAACTAAACATTAGGAAACACTTCCTGAGGGTAAGAACGATTCAACAGTGGAACAAACTAACTCGGAAGGCTGGTGGACTCTCCTGCATTGGAGGTTTGTAAACAGAGATTGGATGGGATTCTTGAGCTGTGATTCCTGCATTGCAGGGGGTTAGTCTAGATGACCGTTGGGGTCCCTTCCAACTCTACAATTCTGTGATTCTGTGTGCTTTCAGGCAAGGCACTTACTTATTGGCTGCAATGTCATACACTTCCACCGAGCTGGTCAAGCCGGAATCGGTCACTCCAGCCACCACATAAATTTTCCCGTTATGTATTGTCGTCCCGAACAGTGATCGTGCTGTTTTCATGGGAGCCAATTCCTTCCACTCAAACTTCTTTGGGTTGTAGACAAGGAGTGTGTTCAGGCACTTCCTGGCGTAGAAGGGGCAGGGGTGAGGTTTGTTTAGTTTATTTAAAGTTTTTATAATTCCACCTCTCTCCCAAACTGAGGTTCAAGGCTGTTTACGACGTTTAAAAACAACATTATAAAATAAAGGTAAAGGTAAAGGGACCCCTGACCATTAGGTCCAGTCGTGACCGACTCTGGGGTTGCGGCGCTCATCTTGCTCTATGGGCCGAGGGAGCAGGCGTTTGTCCGCAGACAGCTTCCGGGTCATGTGGCCAGCATGACTAAGCCGCTTCTGGCGAACCAGAGCAGTGCACAGAAACGCCGTTTACCTTCCCACCGGAGTGGTACCTATTTATCTACTTGCACTTTGACGTGCTTTCGAACTGCTAGGTTGGCAGGAGCAGGGACCAAGCAACGGGAGCTCACTCCGTCGCAACCTTCTGATTGGCAAGACCTAGGCTCTGTGGTTTAACCCACAGCGCCACCCGTGTCCCTAACATTATAAAATACAGAGCAGTAAAAACAAACTGTTGAAAAGCAATAGTTAAAATGCTCCAAAACACATTTGGAACCAGTGATGAAAATGCAGGCTTCCCTGAGAGCAGCCCAGTGGTCAGAACCATCTTTCATCTGAGTTTCCAAAGGCCTGTCTGAACAGGGAGGTCTTAGTCTAGGGCTTGCCGATCAGAAGGTCAGCGGTTCGAATCCCCGCGATGGAGTGAGCTCCCGTTGCTCCGTCCCTGCTCCTGCCAACCTAGCAGTTTGAAAGCACGTCAAAGTGCAAGTAGATAAATAGGTACCTCTCTGGTGGGAAGGTAAACGGCATTTCCATGCGCTGATCTGGTTCGCCAGAAGTGGCTTAGTCATGCTGGCCACATGACCCGAAAGCTGTATGTCGGCTGCCTCGGCCAGTAAAGCGAGATGAGCGCCGCAACCCCAGAGTCATCAGCGACTGGACCTAATGGTCAGGGGTCCCTTTACCTTTACCTAGTCTGCTGGCAGAGGGAGGACAAGGAGGGAGCCAGTCTTAACGTCTCTGGGGAGCAAATTCCACTATATGGGAGCAGCCACAGAAAAGGCTCTCTCTTCTGGTCACCACTGGCTGTGCTTCTGATAGTGAATGGACTGAGACAAGGTGCAGCACAACCGGACACCGTCATCTGCCGCAGCTGCAACAAAACAGGTCTCTCCCATATCGGTCTCTATAGCCACAGCAGGCGCTGTAACTCTCCCAACAATTTGACTGCACCCTCAAAGGCTCACTCCTCCATTGTCTCCCGAGACAGATGGATGGCAGCCAACCAGATGTGAACAGCTCTTGTGTCAAATTCAGTGTCATTTTTCTCGAAAAAGAGGTGCCAGAACTCAACATGAACACTGAAATATACTCAGAGTCGAGTGCGAATATCATGCTCTTTATTCAGTCCGTAGTAGCAATGAATGAAGGTAAAGGTAAAGGTAAAGGTACCCCTGCCTGAAGGCCAGTCGTGTCCAACTCTAGGGTTGTGCGCCCATCTCACTCTATAGGCCGGGGGCCAGCGCTGTCCGGAGACACTTCCGGGTCACGTGGCCAGCGTGACGAAGCTGGTCTGGCGAGCCGGCACCAGAGCAGCACACGGAAACGCCGTTTACCTTCCCGCTAGAAAGTGGTACCTATTTATCTACTTGCACTTTATGGGTGCTTTCGAACTGCTAGGTGGGCAGGAGCTGGGACCGAACGACGGGAGCTCACCCCGTCGCGGGGATTCGCAATGAATGAAACTTTCCCCCAAATGTCTAGCTATATATACATTATTTACACAATGGGCCCCGCGTGATTGGCTAATTCTGGGCTGCTCCTGTAGGCCAATCAGGTTTCTGATTCACTTCATCCAGAAGCCTGATTGGCTGCTCCTGCAGGCCAATCAGGTCACTGATTCACTTCCACCTGGAGCTGGATTGGGTGGCTCCTGCGGACCAATCAGACTGCTGCATTCTGCATCCTATTTTTCTAGGATTCAGCTCAGTACATAACAAACGTGCCTAAGATTTCAGATTAAAACTGCAGAGTGGAAGGAAAGGAGGACCTTTTTCAGCTTCCAGCTACTCTCTGAAGACTGGAGAAGAGACCCTCTTAAGAATATTAGGGGGGTGGGGGGTGGGGAAAGGACTACTAGAGCATGTGAAAAATGAACATAATATTTTAGCTGCCGTTCATTCAGTTTCAGCTTTGTATTATTGTTATTTTTTAAAACTGCGCCTAGACATTCCGTTGTTGCGCCCATAACCTCAGTTTAAGGTGCCATTTAGCTCCTAGCTTTCATATCTCTGTTTCTAACGCTGCTCTCACTTACTTGTCATTTCCTTTGCCTCCGATGGCGTAGATGAGGTCATTCTGGGATACCACGCTGTGGCCATAGACGGGGAAAGGAAGGGAGTCCGCTTCTCCCCATTTAAAGGACCTGGTGGACAGAAGAATGACATACTTTCAGGCAGCCTTCAGCTTTCTTCCCAGGCCCCCAGGCCGTATGAAAATAACATCTAGAAATGCGCTGTGCAAAAATTGTGTATATTACACCAAAAAACTGCATATAAATGTGCCCATTAGGAGAACACGATGATGAATTTTCTTTTAAAAAGATTTGTAAACTAACATCGAGAACTGAAGAAAAGGAGACACTGAGGGAATTCTGACATATTTGCTTCTTTGTCCTCCCAGGAAAATGGCTCTAGGATTGCAGCCTCAGGCTCCCCTTCACCCCTCTTTTCTGCATTTCTTTGCCCCTTTCACAGCAGCAAACTAAAATCTCTCCCCACTTCCATGAATGTCTTTTAGGCACCAAGCAAATATCTCCCTGTTTCCCCAGGCTTTTAACCTCAGACGTGCTTAAAAAAAATCAAAAAATCTATTGCAATCGTTTCTACTGCTGCCTTTTGCTGTGATTAACTATTTTAACGGATGGCTTCTGTATCTATTTTCTGCGCAATCCGAATTCTCTGGGTGGCTCACAAGGAACAAATTAAATGCAGACATAGTATAGAACAATAAAAGCGGCGACACAATTAAAGCATAATTATAAAGTAAGTTATGGGTTGTTGTCTGCTGCTGCAAACTACCCAGACGTTGTTTTGTTTTTAATGTTTGTGTGTTATGGAAATGTTTTAAATAAATAAAGACGCTAATCCCAGTGGGGACAAATTATTACCCTGAGGCCCTTGTTGATTTCGACAGGCACAACTGAGGCCGATTCAACCTCCATTTTCATATAATCATAGTACCGTAGAGTAGGAAATGACTCTGAGGGTCAACCCCTTGTGACTCAGAATCTCAACTAAAGCAGCTTTGACAGATAGCCATCCAAACTCTCCTTAAAAAGGTCCAAGATGCACCACCTCCCTAGGGAGACTGTTCCACTGTTGAACAGCTCTCACTACCAAAACGTTCTTCCTAATGTTTAGACGGAATCTCCTTTCTCGTAACTTGAATCCATTGGTTCGGGTCCTAGCCTCCAGAGCAGGAGAAAACAAGCTCCATTTGAAAGCCCTTGAGATATTTGAAGATGGCTCTCATATCTCCTCTCAGTTTCCTCTTTTCTAGGCTAAACATTCCCAACTCCCTCAACCGTTCCTCATAAGGCCCTTGGTCATCTTGGTTGCACACCTTGCAGCTTGCCAACACCCTCCAACCCACAGTTTTGCCTGTCAAAATTTGAACAATGGCCTCAGGGTCATAATGTGGACTGCCCCTCGTCCAAAATCTGCTTCGGCGTCTGTATTGGCTGGCTCAGGTTTTAGGCCCAAGCCTGAAACCAACGACAAAAAAAAAAGCAGCTAAAAATGCCAATGCAATTCTGGGCTGCATCAATAGGAGTATAGCATCTAGATCAAGGGAAGTAATAGTGCCACTGTATTCTGCTCTGGTCAGACCTCACCTGGAGTACTGTGTCCAGTTCTGGGCACCACAGTTCAAGAAGGACACTGACAAACTGGAACGTGTCCAGAGGAGGGCAACCAAAATGGTCAAAGGCCTGGAAACGATGCCTTATGAGGAACGGCTAAGGGAGCTGGGCATGTTTAGCCTGGAGAAGAGGAGGTTAAGGGGTGATATGATAGCCATGTTCAAATATATAAAAGGATGTCACATAGAGGAGGGAGACATGGAGCAATGGATCCAAACTACAAGAAAGAAGATTCCACCTAAACATTAGGAAGAACTTCCTGACAGTAAGAGCTGTTCGACAGTGGAATTTGCTGCCAAGGAGTGTGGTGGAGTCTCCTTCTTTGGAGGTCTTTAAGCAGAGGCTTGACAACCATATGTCAGGAGTGCTCTGATGGTGTTTCCTGCTTGGCAGGGGGTTGGACTCGATGGCCCTTGTGGTCTCTTCCAACTCTATGATTCTATGACTTTGTTTCGCACTCACAGCCGATCGTAGCACAGGACTGAGTCCAGGGTTTCTTCTCCTTCCTTCAGCTCTTTTCCACCAACCACAAAGATGGAGTTTTCAGCCTCGCCGAGGCCAAACAGGCAGCGCGGAGATGGCAGGGGAGGCATCCCGAGCCAGTCTGAGTCCAAGTGGTCATACTGCAGAGAAGCGATAAGGCAGAGAAGCATCAGGGCAGAGCTGAGGACCACAGTCCCACCTGCACAACTTTCTGAGGGCCACAGGGCCAGAGGCAAAACCAGCTTGTTTCTTCTGCACACCCCTTTATCCTCCGTCCAGGAAGCCCAGAGGTTCCATCAGAGATTGAGGACATTTTCCAGCCAGGCCAAAGCACTCAAGTCCAAAAGGTCTGATAGAAAGGCCTGGAAGGTCACATTTGGAGCCTGGGCCTGAAGTCTCCCACTCCTGTTATACAGGAAGAAGAAGACTCCAAAGAGTGTGGACCTGTATCATACCCCTCAGCCATCTAGATTTGAGCAGGACATCTTGGAATGACAGAAGCCAACCTTTGCTTCTGATTGGATCCCAGAATGTCCTGTTTTTTGGCCTCTCGCTCTCACCCAAGTCAACTGACTCCCGCAAGGTAAAGGTAAAGGGACCCCTGACCATTAGGTCCAGTCGTGGCCGACTCTGGGGTTGCGGCGCTCATCTCGCTTTACTGGCCGAGGGAGCCGGCGTACAGCTTCTGGGTCATGTGGCCAGCATGACTAAGCCGCTTCTGGCGAACCAGAGCAGCGCACGGAAATGCCGTTTCCCTTCCCGCCAGAGCGGTACCTATTTATCTACTTGCACTTTTGGCATGCTTTTGAACTGCTAGTTTGGCAGGAGCCGGGACTGAGCAACGGGCGCTCACCCTGTCGTGGGGATTCGAACCGCCGACCTTCTGATCGGCAAGCCCTAGGCTCTGTGGTTTAACCCACAGCGCCACCCGACTCCCGCAAGAGTTTGGGCCAAAAAAACGAGCATCCCAATTTTGATCAGTTGGAGTCGATGCTGTATAGATGTATAGAAGTACATCACACTGCATTGAGCAGGGTTTACGCTCACCCTGCTGCTAGGGTTTTTAGGACTGAGATATAGCTTTGGTTGTGGTTGGGCAGCAGAACGATGGAGTTGACAGGTCCCCCAGCTGCAGCCTCCCCAATAGAGAACCATCCAGCCTCTGCTTCTATACCTCCAGGGGACAAGGAAAGCCTCTTCCACAGTTCAGCAAATCTCATCATTTGGATGTTCCTCTGAATGCAGGGGCGAGAAACTTGTAGCCTTCCAGATGTGTCTGGACTCTAACTCCCATCACTCCGGACTAGTGTCCTTGGTGTCTGGGGCTGATGGGAAACAGTCCAACCGCATTTGCCATTTCCACCCATCAGTTCTAGTCCTGCCCTCTGAAACAATGGAGAACTAGGCCATGTTTACACCCTGCTCTCAAAGCACTATACTATTTTAAACAGTCATAAAAAAGGTAAAGGGACCCCTGACCATTAGGTCCAGTCATGGCCGACTCTGGGGTTGCTGCGCTCATCTCGCTTTATTGGCCGAGGGAGCTGGCGTACAGCTTCTGGGTCATGTGGCCAGCATGACTAAACCACTTCTGGCGAACCAGAGCAGCACATGGAAAAGCTGTTTACCTTCCCGCCAAAGCGGTACCTATTTATCTACTTGCACTTTTGACGTGCTTTCAAACTGCTAGGTTGGCAGGAGCAGGGAGTGAGCAACGGGAGCTCACTCCATCACGGGGATTCGAACCACCGGCCTTCTGATCGGCAAGTCCTAGGCTCTGTGGTTTAACCCACAGCACCACCCGCATCCCTCTTTAAACAGTCATAGCTTCCTGCAAAGCATTTTGGGCACAGTAGTTCGTTAAGGGTGCTGAGAGTTGCTAAGAGACCTTGGCCCCCAAGATGTGACTGGAATACTGAGCAGAAGCACTTCATACTGCAACTTTCTGTTGCAGGGCCCACTTGTGTTTGGATAAAGGGGAAGCGGGACCCCTGGCTATGTGGATCTCCTGCCTCATCTAGCCAGACAACTGTGAGATTATGAACAAAGCAATAACTATCTAGGTAATGCAATATTAGGTGATGCAATGCCATTGTTCTGAACTTGCCACCATCCCTGCTGAGCCACACACTTAAAACAGGGTGTCAGGCCAGTTTGAACCAGTGCACATCTGAAACTGGACCTAAACCACCCTGGAGTCGGCGCCGCACTCCAAGGGGAATCTAGCACTGCGTGACTCTTGGCCCAGGAGCAGGAAGCTGTGTACATCATTCACAAGCCAGGAGGAAGAAAACAACAAGTGGTACCTGCAAGAAATAGGAGTTCATGGGGTCCTCTTTATTGTCCTCGTTGTAGTAAATTCCACCTGCTATGAAGATCTGGTTCTCACGGGTGACCAGGCTGACGTGATTCTTTGGGATCTGAGCAGAGACGGAGGCAAAATAGCACTCATTGGCTCCCGGATCGTAGGCCACTGCCCCTGAGTCACTGACCATGAAAATAAGGTCTTGTAGAAACATCCCAAAGCGCATTGTGTCGTTCAAGATCCCTGGGAGACCCTCCTCCTCTTCCTCTTTCTCTCCTGCTTCTTGCTCTACCTCTCCGTTGATGACATTGTCACCAGCTTTCTTCTCCCCCTTTTTCTTCCCCGTCGTCTTCCTCACCACCGTGAGCTTCCCGTCATGGGCATCCTTGACCATCTGGACCTTCTTGAGGAGCTCTGGGCTGGACTTGACCAAGGCGTGCTTCTCCACATGGTCCTTGAAGTAAGCTTTGTCCATGAGTCGGAAGCGGATGCTCTCAAAGACCACCGGGAGTGCTTTCGCCCGGGCCTCGCGGTCCCTCGCGGTGGCCCACTTCATCACCACCTCGAAGACGGTCTCCTCCTTCTCTACGTTGAGCGAGTCGGTGGAGATGATGGCGATGAGCTCGTCGGGAGAGAGCTGGTTGAACTCCTCGTCCCGGGAGATGAGGGTGAAGCGGTCGCTTATGAAGTCCCTCGCCGCTATGGCTAGGCGTGCGCAGTCCAGCATCAAGCCCAGCCTGAAGATGGCCAGGCAGTTGCTGAGGCAAAGCCTCTTTTGAAGGAAGGAGACGCAGACGGTGAAGATGGAAGGAATCTGGAACATGTTAGCCACCGTGAAGATGTCCTGGACGTTCTGCTCAGTGATGTCCAGCTCTGAAGTGTAGATGTAGTGGAGAATCTTCCCCATGACTTCTGGGTCGACGTCCTCCAAGTCGATCTCCTTTTTCTTGCTTTCCTCCATGTCCGAGAGAAACATAGCCCTGAAGTAGGGGCTGCAGGCGGCGAGGACCAGGCGGTGGCACGGGAATTCTCTCCCTTTGACCTTCAAGACGCAGTCGAGGAACTTGTTGTGGTCTAGCATGTCTTTCAGACCATCCTGGAGGAGGGTTTGCTGGTAGAGACGCAACTCCTCGGCTTGTTCCATCGGCAAGGCCATGACTCCTAGGTCTTCTCTTCCCACTCCTTTGAACCCGTGAGCGTCCGAAGTCCCCCTTTTTTTGCTCCCAGATGGAGCTCAGAGAATATGAGATACTTGCTGCCAACGCAGCTGACTGTGTGGCTCAGTTTCCACAGCAAGAGGGGCTTTTTATATATAGCTACAGCATTACGGAGCTTAGGGAATCCATTCGGCAGCATATGTAAGCCGATCACCTTTTAATATGACAAACTGGCCTGCTGGGGAGGGGTGGCTGTTGTTGGCGGGTGGGGTGGCACGAGGGGGGCTGAGTAACAGCTGTAAGTGTAATTCTAGATCCATGGCAGACGCTTTCGTGATTCACTATCGGGGAAGCCTTTTCCTGAAGGACTTTCAGCAGAAAAGCTGGGGACCGGCTGCCTTAGTAACTGTGTGTGTGTGTGAGAAACAGATTCTGCCTCAGAGTGACTCAAAGTCCCTAAAATCAAGCTCAGGAGCCATGTGGATAGTCTTGACTGCACACACACACACACACACACACCCATATCCCTGGTCTCCTTTGCTAAATCCGGAGCAAAGATTAATGCGCTAAAAATATACTGCAAAGTCAGAGTTGAGTAAACAGCGAATAAATGCATCTGACGTTTGGTGCGAAAGAAGGAAATCCGTCCAAGTCACAGATGCCTCAGGGATGGTTTATCTGATTTGATTTATTGATTTATTGACATGTACGTCATTGTTTGTGCCGTGTTCCCTCAAGTGACCGGCTGTTCCATGGGCAGCCGTACGCAGGATTCGTTTCCTCGTCAGGAGCAAGTACGGTTGTGTTATGGGGCCCTTGGCAACAAACTTTTTGTTTACAAGTGAACAGATGGGGAAACAGTCAAGCTGCTAGTCCCTAAGGTGAGGCCCACTATACCCATCACGCCAAGCCAGAAACCTTTTAGCAGCCTATTCCAGACAGCTTTGAACAGAGGCTGAGTTTCATTGTGTTCAGATTTCATTCCCCATCCTGCTCCTGGCTTCATATTTTCCCCATACTGAAATAATAAGCCCTATTCCTGGCATTTCCACCATAATAGCAGGACTTGACTGCTCGATTTGTCGCTGGGAACAGCAACAAAATGTTGCAGTATGAAGCGCTTCTGCTTAGGATTCCGGTCAGCCAGCCACGCCCTGCCTCAGGACACTCCACTCCATAATAATAATTTATTATTTATACCCCGCCCATCTGGCTGGGCTTCCCCAGCCACTCTGGGCGGTTTCCAACAAAATATTAAAATACAGTAATGCACCAAACATTAAAAGCTTCCCTAAACAGGGCTGCCTTCAGATGTCTTTTAAAAGTCTGGTAGTTGTTCTCTTTGACATCTGGTGGGAGGGCGTTCCACAGGGCGGGCGCCACCACTGAGAAGGCCCTCTGCCTGGTTCCCTGTAACTTGGCTTCTCGCAGTGAGGGAACCACCAGAAGGCCCTCGGAGCTGGACCTCAGTGTCTGGGCAGAACGATGGGGGTGGAGATGCTCCTTCAGATTACCCATCCCTCTTGCTTTTACACACCCTGCCCCCAAAATAGCCAGTCAGTATTCCCTTTAGGTACTTCAGCAGACTTTGAGGGTACCTGCAAAGCTGCAGGTGTATCCCTCTTGCTTGTTGTTGGTACAATTTTGGATACATAAGCGCTGGCAACACCCTCTGTCTGGGTGTCAGAAATATGTGGAATGATAGTTAGGGACCAAGCTGAAACTAAAGGAAGAAATTCCTGCTGGGACTATAATATTTATATTGCTTTGTCCCAAGCATTCACAGAGGCCTATATATAGCTTATTCAATATCCACTCAGGCATGGTGCTCGCTTGGGTCCTGGGCCCACATCCTGCTTCACCCAAACCTACCTCACAAGGCTGTTGTGAAGATCATGGAGAGGATGAACTCTCAGTGCTGCCTTGAGCTCTGTAGAGCAAAGGCAAGATGTAAAGACCAAGAATACCATAAAGTTTGATGGATTCGAGAGTCCGAAATGCTGAAAATCCAGCCAAAATTTTAATGCTCGGGTAATACTGTTCCCAGCATCTTAAAAAGCAGAGACATCACCTTGCCAACAAAGGTCCATATAGTTAAAGCTATGGTTTTCCCAATAGTGATGTATGGAAGGGAGAGCTGGACCATAAAGAAGGCTGATCGCTGAAGAATTGATGCTTTTGAATTATGGTGCTGGAGGAGACTCCCATGAGAGTCCCATGGACTGCAAGAAGATCAAACCTATCCATTCTGAAGGAAATCAGCCCTGAGTGCTCACTGAAAGGACAGATCCTGAAGCTGAGGCTCCAAGACTTTGGCCGCCTCATGAGAAGAGAAGACTCCCTGGAAAAGACCCTGATGCTGGGAAAGATGGAGGGCACAAGGAGAAGGGGACGGCAGAGGACGAGATGGCTGGACAGTGTTCTTGAAGCTACCGGCATGAGTTTGACCAAACTGTGGGAGGCAGTGGAAGACAGGAGTGCCTGGCGTGCTCTGGTCCAGGGGGTCACAAAGAGTCGGACACGACTAAACGACTAAACAACAACAATACCATTCCACTAATAGCTTAGGATATCTTTCAGCTTTTATGGTGTTAATTAACGGGAAACTTTACTAGACATTTACATAATGCATGATGATGATGATGATGTGTAGTACAATATGCTGATGACACCCGTGCCGGTTTGGCAGTCAGAATTCAAGGCTGACAGTTGACATGGCGGATAGCTAAATAAGATGGTTATTTTCAAAATCCCAGGGGCTTGGGGTTTGTTTATTTTAAAGCTGGATCTCAAAAGATGTTTTGCAAGGAAATTAAATATATGTACACACCTCCCTCAGACTTGGGGACATTATTTCAGTAGAGTGGGTTTGGGTGTCCTTGGCACAGAGTATTATTTATTTTATTGCATTTATATCTCACCTTTTTCTCTCCAAAAGGGTTCTCCCCCTCCCCATTTAAGACCCACAACAGCCCTGTGAGGTACGTTAAGGCTGAGAGGCAGTGACTGGCCCCAATGTTGCCCAGCGAGCTTTGTGGCCAAGTGGGGATTTGAACCCTGTTCTCCCAGGTCCTAGTCCAACACTTTAACCACTGTACCACATTGGCTCTCAGTAAACAGATGGTCTGATTAGTCAAGTGTAGTCTGGGGCAACAGCTGGAATTCATAATCCAGCCTGTCCTCCCCTTGCCTTTTTTATTTTTTGGCAAACAAAGGGTTAGCAGGTCTTTCCAGAGCAGCACATTGTCTCAGCTCCAAGCCATGTTCTTAATCCTCTCTGTGGATTATATTTTCCCATCTGCATTAATTTGCCCCTTTGCAAGGGGACTTAACATCTGATGAGCTCTTTAATCTCTCAAATGTCCCTGTCAACCCATCAGCTGCAAAGGATGGCAAATTAATGTGTGAGATCCACACTGCACAGCCACGCGGGTGCGATGGGACTCCTTCATTCCTCTTTGTCGATTAACCACATTTCCATGCCATTTAGGGCCTTCTCGGTGGTGGCTTCTCCTAGACTTTGGAACTCTCTGCCTAGAGAAACCAGACTGGCTCCCTCCTTGCTGTCTTCCTGCCACCTGGTGAAGAACTTCTTCCAACAGGCTTTTGGGAAGCAACTGCATTCAGTGAAAGGGCTGGCGCCATGTTGTTTTTATTACAATTATTCATTTGATTCTAAGAAATCTTTTATGTTTGTGCTCTGCATGGGGCTACCTTTGAAGGTGACCCAAAAACTACAACTAATTCAGACTGCGGCAGCTAGACTGGTGATTGGGAGGGGCTGCCGGGACCACATAACACCGCTTCTGAAAGACCTACATTGGCTCCCAGTACGTTCCCAAGCACAAATCAATGTGTTGATGCTGACTTTTAAAGCCCTAAATGGCCTTGGCCCAGTAGACCTGAAGGAGCGTTTCCAGCCCCATCATTCAGCCCAGACACTGAGATCCTCCTCAGAGGGCCTTCTGGCAGTTCCTTCACTGTGAGAAGTGAAGTAACAGGGAACCAGGCAGAGGGCCTTCTCAAAGGTGGCCCCCACCCTGTGGAACGCCAACCCACCAGATGTCAAGGAAATAATCAACTATCTGACTTTTCGAAGGCATCTGAAATCAGCCCTGTTTGTTGTTTAGTCATTTAGCCATGCCCGACTCTTCGTGACCCCCTGGACCAGAGGACGCCAGGGACTCCTGTCTTCCACTGCCTCCCGCAGTTTGGTCAAACTCATGCTGGTAGCTTCGAGAACACAGTCCAACCATCTCGTCCTCTGCTGTCCCCTTCTCCTTGTGCCCTCCATCTTTCCCAACATCAGGGTCTTTTCCAGGGAGTCTTCTCTTCTCATAATATGGCCAAAGTATTGGAGCCTCAGCTTCAGGATCTGTCCTTCCAGTGAGCACTCAGGGCTGATTTCCTTAAGGATGGATAGGTTTGATCTTCTTGCAGTCCATGGGACTCTCAAGAGTCTCCTCCAGCACCATTTAGGGAAGCTTTTAATGTCTGATCTTTTATGGTGTTTTTAATATTTTGTTGGAAGTCGCCCAGAGTGACTGGGGAAACCCAGCCAGATGGGTGGGGTATAAATAATAAAGTATTATTATTATATGGTTTTAATTATATTAATGTTTAATTGTTTTTTATCATTGGTTCCCCTGCCCCTATGTTTTTAGCTGATCTGAAAGCTGCCTTGAGTCCCTGTCAGGGAAAAAGGGAAGGGAATAAATCAATAATAAAAAATAATGCAATACAGTGGTACCTCTGGTTGCGAACGGGATCCATTCTGGAGGCCCGTTCGCAACATGAGCAGAATGCAACCCTCATCTGCGTTGGTCGCGATTCGTCGCTTCTGCCCATGCGCGTGATGTCATTTTGCGCATCTGCGCATGTGCGAGCGGCGAAACCCAGAAGTAACCCTTTCCGGTACTTCGCCACAGGACGCAACCTGAAAACACTCAACCTGAAGCAAACGTAACATGAGGTATGACTGTAGTGCTATAGTTGAACCCTAAACCCATGGTTAGCAGAAACAAACCAGTTTGACATCTCATGGTTTGAAGTTGGAGTGTTTCGCTAAAGCCCAATTAGTTCCTAATTAGCTGGGCTAACCCCAACGAAGACCTTTAATCTCTGTTGCTGGGAAGAGGCTGCAACCGTGTGATATGGAAGACTTGCCCGCCCAATCGTTCATTCTGCC